ATTTACTGTACAATCCATGAATTTCCATATAAAAATATCTATTTTATAAATGTATTTATTTTATAATGAAACTTTATCAATAGATAATAAAATATATGAATAATTGTATGAATTAATATTTGAAATTAATTATTATTTAAAGAAAATTCATGCGACAGTATCTATCACAGATACTTTTAATGTCAATATAATAATATAGAATTTATTATAATTGCTTCGAAATAAATGAATTTGTTATTTAAACAAAAACCTCGAACCTCGCTTTAAAATCTATCATAACAATTAGGATTTTGTTATAAAACGAAAAAAAACTCTGTGAACTTATTTATTAATACGATTAACTCTCCTCCCTATTAAGTCTATTAGGTCGATAGTTGTATCCTTATTTAGATGAATAAATGATATTTATTTCAGGAATTTAAAAAATTTATCAAACTTCTTTATTTTCGATTCTTACTATAATTTAAAGCATTTAAAGATTCACTACACACATATATTTCATTCAAGTAAACTTGAAAATATAGTAAATTAAAGCAAAAATTAAACTTAGAAAATTAAGCACAGAGAACAACAAATGGCGAACAAATGGCCAACAGGCATAGCAGATAACCCATTCTTACAGTACATAGTTGCACAATATTTTACCATAATATCATTTTAATTCTCTTTGTGATCTCTTTGTAAGTTTGACAGCGTCACAGAGCAGCAGATAATTTCATTGCTGCAAAACTGCCGTGCAACTTATAAATTAATTAAATAGTGGTGACCGTGATGTATGCAAGTGGACGTAAATAGAAATTTACGGGAGATCGACGAATGCATTAAAGTGCTCTTTATAATTGGTCATTTATTAAATGGTTTCATGCTGTTCTTTCTTAATATTTATCATTTATTTATATGTTCTTAGAATATTTTTGAAGGAATTAGGCTAAATATTATTCTAAATTCTTAATAGCATGGACAACATTTATATATAAATTTATAAATATCATATTGAATTATTACTGTAAAATATTTTTAATATTATTATTATTTTCAATATTAGTGAGTATAACAAGTTTGAATGAGGGCAAATAATTAAGATAGAAAAGTTTTTATTCTTGAACTGATGTTCAGACTGACTTAAATATTAGATAAAATTTTGCGAAAGATGTACATGTGAAAGCAGACTCAAATGTTATATTAACCATAAATACTAAAAGCATTATGAAATTAAATATAATACATTAGTTTTCTAATTTTATATTATAATTAATAATGAAAAGAATCAAATATTAATTTTATAAATTATACTTAGATTAAGCAATGGAAATTTAAAAAATACACTCCAGGATAGAAATTTTGCATCAAATTAATTATTATTTATACTTGAATTGTATGTAGAAAATCAGAATATATACGAATGAATAATATTGGTAGCTTTATTAAAGATAAGAAGAAAATATATATATATATATATATATATATATATATAATTGATAATTATGCATTCTTTCAAGAGTATAAATTAAATATATGATGAATAAGTTAAATCAAAACTATTAAAGTAAAAAATACCCTTTAAATTAGATTATAAAAAGAGGTATTAATCAATACATGTAAATTACATAATAACAGATGATAAAATTTAATAATACTTCTTAATAAGATCTAACTTTCTTTTTCATTTGTCGAAATGTTGAAGAATCTATGAGATCTTAACGATATGCGAAATATTGAAAATTATGACTGAAAAATGTCCTGGCATTTAAAGCTATAAAATTTCTTGCTGCTCTGAGAATATAAATCCTTAATAATAATAAAAAAAAGTCGATGAATCAACTTTAAAACACCTGGTCTCTTTATGTGAGAAAGCACACGTGGTCGACTGCTTCTAGCTTTCATGATAGTATTAATCAACAAACTCCCTGAATGCATGTTTTCATTATCCTTAATAAGGAACGAAGATAATAACAAGAGCTTAAATGAGAAGAATAAAAAAAAAATGAAGATGAAGAAGAAATATTTACCACCGGTATGGTAAATATTCGTATAAAATAGAATAGGATATTTTAAAGAATAAAAAGGAGGGGGTGGGGGATAAAGGAAAGTAAGAATAAAAGAAAGAAATCTAAGTTAATAAAATACTAATGGGAAAAAAATTCGATAGATATTATGTCTTGTAAAACATATGCTATGACGTTTCAGACTTAAAGCACTTTGATGTGTAAAATTCCATGCGACGAAAAAGAAATGAGATTCGAAGAAAAGTAAAAAATAAATAAGGACATGTTTAAAGAGACGAAGTTATAAATTTTATTCTTTATCCGCCTCTCTCACGTATTGGTACACTAATGCACCAAAACTACTACTACTTTATCCGCCTCTCTCACGTATTGGTACACTAATGCACCAAAAGGAAATATACACGTACATAATAATGTAAGAAAAGCAATGGTATAAGTTTATGTATCCACGCCAGTTTCTTTCAAGGAACGCACATATATTTCTATATATGTATATAATATAATATAATAAAATATAATATAATATATATGTTGGTGTATTTACGCGCGCGTATGTTGTTAGAGGGAAATCAATTTCCCGCTATACTAACGACTTCCACTCATTTCCGAGAGTCGTTTCCAACTTGTCTCGACAAACCTATCAACGTATCGCCATACAGGAGATGTCAATTTTATGGCTTGTTTCGTGTAAAAACAGTATTAATAAAAAAAATGTCGTAGCCGTAGGAAGCGCAACACCACATTTCATATTCAATCATTCGATTGGCGCCATTAATTAAATGACTTCTGTGTCCTGTTTATCGATAAAATCTGATGGCAAGACTCGGCAACTCGCGACGACCTTCAGCGCGATTGGAAAACATATTTGCGGTAATTAGTCTGTCGGTATCTATATAGGCCAGAATAAAATATTTTTCAATAGTTTTTAGACATTTTTACTGACTGTATAATAATGATGATCATACAATGCACGGGAAAGTTCACACGAATTTGATATTTTAGTAATATTTTTCTTTTAATTTTATAATTGAACCGATGACAATTTAATCACGATTGACGAATATACTGTGTAAAGAATAAAAAAAAACAAAAACAAAAACAAAAACAAAAACAAAATACATTTCACAGTATCGTAAGTTTTGCAATTGAAAATTTACATATATAATTATTGTGTATATTTTATTCTTTCTTATGCTTTTGCAATCGATACTTTTCCATCTACGATATATATATATATATATATATATATTTTTTTTTTTCATTGGAATTATTAAAAAATAATATGATTTATACTAAACGGAATGATTCTTCGATTCATTATTCGAATTAGTCCAACAGAAATTCATGAAAAAAAAAAAAAAGTCAATACGTTATTCTATCGTAATGAATATTTAATAATTATTATTTAAATTGATTTCAAATGGTTTAAATGGATTTTAAATATTCATAGAGAAATTTAATACAACTAATTGCATGCAAAATACATGTCTTATAAATAAATATTGATTGTTAATATATTAAGAATTTAATAGAGAAAATTATGCGTAAATGTATATGTGTAATTATTGAAAAAAATTCACATCACAACGGTTTACGATATGTTGGCCTGTGGTAAGTTTTTCTTAAAGTTATGTTGCTAATCATGAAAACAAGAAACTTATCAAAAAAGGCAAAGATTAATTTAATTTAAAGACATTTTAACGTTCGTAAGCGAATGAAAAGTTCAGTGACAGAGCGTCGCTACGATGATTTTATTAAAATAAGTGCGAGATAACTATATTAAGTCTTGTGCAGATTGTCTATAATTAAAGCAATCGACGTTTAGAAAATCTTCTGTCGGCAAAGTGTTGAACTTTGCTTGCATATCAGAACCGTCTGAGCAATGTTTGAGGGGAAAAAAATTTTGTCCGGCAAAATTTATTCAATAATATCGGCGTCCTACTCGTATATTTTAGTAATATTTTCAATTTAAAAACCAATTTCCCTTAATTTAAATTTCATTTTCTATTATAATACCATTAAAGCATCTAGTATTGTTTGTTTTATTGCAATGCAGCATGAAATATTCTATTAATTAATTAACACGTAAGTTGTAATCAATTTTTCTGAAGCAAAGGGGGAGGTATAACTTATAAAAATGAAGCATTATATAAAAAACTGAATTTTTTATGGACAAAAATTACTTTATGCATAATTGACAGCCATTTAATTATAATCATATATTTTAACCAATTAAGCTTCAAATTTTTTTTTCTTCTTTTTTAGTCAGAATTGATATCGTAAAATCACTTTTGATACGAAAAGTCACTAGACGCTAAAAATTTTGCTCTTTCAAAGACTTTTTACTAGAGCCACGCGTAAGTCACACGAAATTATTTGTTCCGAGATTGCAAAGCATCTAATTGAACTTAGGATTGGAAAGTTGAAATAGTTAGAATAATTTTGTACGGCATTAATTATGTTTTTCATCAAATGACTGATAATTAATTTAATTAAAAGTTTCAATTTCATATAAAGCATCGTAACTGGCGTACGTCGCGCTCGTGAATACTTTACATATTCACTTTCGTACGGAATCGTCGCACAGGTGCAAAAATAAAACGGCTTCGGTCTGATCTTCGTTAAAGCAAATGAATTCGAATGAAATGAACGTAAGAAATAACGCGAGAACTAAGTAGCGTGGACAGTGAAATATAAAATAAACTAAACTCTAACTAGGAAATATAGTTGACTCTGTAAGTAAAATCGCGCCCACCAGTAAATTGGCGTAAATCGTACGAGGTGGGATGAAGGGATGGGCTGAAGGGTGTGTGTGTGTCTGTGTGTAGTGTGTAGTGCGTGCGCGCGCGCGCGCGCGCGCGTGTGTGTGTGTGTGTGTGTTTGTGTTTGTTTAAGGGGGGGGGGGGGGGGGGGGGGTATGTGACGATGGTGGCGAAGGGAAGGGGGCAGTAATTGCAGCTCCGTGACAGCATTACATGGATAAATCGATTCCAGCAATTCGTCTGGAGCGAATTCTCGGAGGAGTACAAGCCTACGGAGCGCCGGGAAACGTACTACCCGAGCGTCGTCCTCGCCGAGAGGCTTTACGAACTCAAAATCACAGATCTGCCGACGATACCGTACTTCCCGGTCAGCTCTCACCTGGAATGGACCGATTTCCGATATTATGGTCTACGCAGTGCCACTGCCTACGTCCTCGTCTTCGACCTCAGCAATCAGGACACCTTCCAGGTATATAAACACCCATGCTAATCGATATCTCTTCTTTAAAAAATGCAAGGCTAATTGGATTACATTGCTTTTTTTTTCTTCCTTTTATTTTTGTTATCGTTGTCGTTGTTATCGTCGTCGTCGTTGTTATCGTTGTCGTTGTTATCGTTGTCGTTGTTATCGTCGTCGTTATCGTCGTCGTTGTCGTTGTCGTTGTCGTTGTCGTTGTCGTTGTCGTTGTTGTTTTATATAAATAGACAAAATAAATGATAGCAAAGCTTTGGTAAGGTGCGCTCGACTTTGTGATTTGGAAATTCCCAATGCAAGATTCTACTGACTACAAGTAATGACACAATATCTTTTGTAATTGTTGAGAATATATGGAGATAATAAGTGATTGGCTGCAAGATTGTTGCAAAGATGGGCAATAACTATTAGCGCAAGCTACTTTAAAGCTTTAAGCTGAAAGACACGCTCTCAAGCGAATACACAAAATTAATTACGCCTATTATATTTTTTAAGCGAAAATTAGCTTATTATTGAATTCAGATTCACGTTAGTACACAGAGCTTGCATAATTACCGACACGGAGTGACTAACTGATTAGGCTTGTAATTGTATTGCGGTGGTATCACAGTTGAGCTTGACTAGTCACGTACATCTTCCACGGGTAAATCGGATTCGAACGTCGGTACTAGTGCATTGTTCCTTAATTAATTCGAGCATTACATCCCTTTATAACTTTCCTAAAATAGGATTGAGGTTACAATTATGCTTATACGATAAATAATTAATTATTTATCGTATCTGTATCGTATTAAAGTACTATTGCCCTTAAAGCTTTAATAATACCTAAAAAAGAAAAGATACATATATCAATATGAATGTAAAAAGAATGGGAGCCGAGGGTAAAAGACATTAAAGATTGATGTGTCTTTAGTGCAGAGTAGTCTCTTATCATCATATTTTGTTTGTTTGGGATTTGTGTGATTTATTTTAACAGCCGATATAGCTTATGCTTGTATTGTTTAAAGAACTACTTATTCAATTATCCTGGTCTCACCATTCCACTCTGCTGTATTTTATGTTATGTATACCCTTTTGATCGCGAGATTTTATTCAACAACTCCCTCTTAGCATTTTATTCAATCACCTAAATTATCTCATTTAGTTTTTTAATTTTTTAATCATACGGATTATTTACAGTACTCGATGGTATTCTCCTTTTTTTTTTTTATTATTCTTTTTTCACTGAAGCACTACTTCAATGCAGGCTAATGGATAATATAGTAGTTCGTTTTATTAAATATTACTTCGATTACTTATTCAATATTCATTTTGACTATTCCCTTCGTTGTCATTTACATAGTTCCATTATTACTGTATGTGTAAATAAATGTACACAGCATTGTGTGTCCATTTATTTCAAACATATATTGCATTGTAAATTCTCAGGTAACCAAATATAACAAATTCAATACATATGGAAAAATATATTTTTAAAATCCAAACATTTGCGTTTATTAAACATATGAAAAAATTGGTCTCTCTCTCTCTCTCTCTCTCTCTCTCTCTCTCTCTCTCTCTCTCTCTCTATGAAATATGACAATATTTTATTGATTAATGTTTTTATACATTTTTTTTTGTAATATTTTTATGAGATTCGTCATCATTCTTTAAGTATAAGAAATAATGATTATTCAATCTTCACTTTTGAAATTTGTCGCATAAGTAGACTAAGAGATATTATGCAATAGAAATTAGAACATATCGAAAGGTATATAAACGCTTATATCTAAGGACACTTTTATCTTACATTACAATTGTAATCTTATCGATATATTCCATCAGTAATAATTATCTTGCATAATACCATGATAATGATGATGATTATATACGACCATCCTATCTGCTTTTTAAAGTGAATAATGTTTTTTGGTTTTTTTTTTTTTTTTAACGTATCTAATTACAATAATTATTTGAAAATTTATGTATGAAAATGTTCCATATTCTTCTAATAAGTTAAAAACAATTGCATTTTTTAATATTATAAATAAAATAAAATTATTTTACCTTAAGCTATTAATACATTAAATAATTTTATAAGACTAAATTCAAGTAAAACTTTCTTTCTCTACTTTAAAATATACAAACTGACATTCTCTAGTTTTTTTTCTTTTCTTTTCTTTTCTTTTCTTTTCTTTTCAAATACATACATACTATTGACTTATACATTTTATTCATTGTTATGATAATATACGCCTTCGGTCACGAACGCTTCAATCTTTAGTATAATGGTATATATCCTAATGTCGAAGGATTTTCATACTCCTTTCAGAAATTTTCTGCTCGGAATCTGATTTTATTTCGTGATATTTTCGAAACTCCTTGCAAAGCCGTGCTTTTTGTTGATTTAAAAAGGATTTAATTCAGCTTCGTGTTTTTCAAGAAGTTGTTCTCTAAGAAATCTTAAATCTTTTTTTAGTTCTGAATATGAAACTTTTGTACTTACATGTAAAATTGAAGATTTAGAAATATGTATTAAGTCAAATCATATATCGGACGATTTAAATGGTGAAACTAGGCAATAATAGAAATGACAAGAAACTTCAATTAACGCTTTTTACTTTATATCCAATTGAAAATAATTATAATGCTTGTTTCATAATGAATTATCTTAATGAATTATCTTGATTAATTCTGTTTATTTAATTGTTTAGATATATAAGAAAATAGGTGAAACATGTTTACAGATGGACATGTGTACTGTAACGACCTATCAGGTGTCGATCGAACGTGCAAGGGTACGCAAAATTATGGAAAATTATTAGCTCGATCTATCTGAACGGAATGGTAAGGAGCGAATTTTTAATAAAGTGGACCATCACTAGTCTGACTTTGTCAATTTTTCTACGTTAAATTAGCCGACCTTATATTGTTGACAATTAACAAGACTATGTCGATTGACAGAAATTCGTGGCACGTTACCCCTTGCACTTCACCACGACGAAATGCAATTGACCCCTTTTTCAAAATTACGAATGAAAATCACCAATCGACATAAAAACAGCGGTATTATATGAAAAGATGCATTGAGACAAATTTGCTGGTGTTTTACGATAATGTTTTGTATTTATTCGAGCTGCTTCACTATAACGTCAGAATAATATCATATTCTTATTGAGACACGCACACGGACACATAATGAACGCGTTAGTCATTCTCTACGTAAATATATGGCGTGAAAGCTAGCTAGGAAAAAGGAAAACGCATAAAGCTACGATAAAAAAAGAAACAAAATGAAAGAGAACAAGAGACGAAAAGTGTACGAACGTTCGAGCAGCCTCTAATGCAAATCACGTGGGAATCTCTCATCCAAAACAGCATTGCACAATCAAGCAGAAAGGAAAGGCATACCACCAAAACATCTCCCACGCGTCTAGGCTCCGAGAATCAAGTGCAAAGTCAATGAAGCGATAATCCAGTTAGTTGAGCACTCGCTTCTCTCCGGGGTAAATCGACTTCAATATACAACTGTCTCCGCTCGCTCCGATCCAAGCTCCACTCCACGGCATTGCCCTGTTTCATAAAATAATTTACAAGAGCACGACAATACCGGAACAAGTACACGTCGAAACATCGGAAGTGTAAGGACAGACGTGTCTATACGACAGCCAATGATTGAGATTTGTCGTGGAAGCCCGGACAGTGTTAGACAAGTGCTTGATCCTCCGGTGGAAAATCATCCAAGTCCCGTCGAAGCCAGTGTAGTCAAGTCGGACAACCATCGAGCCCAAAGGAAGCCAGTCCATCGCCGAGGGGCGCCGATGTTAAGTCGGCCAAAACCAAGTCGTACAAGCATGGCTGACACGTTACTTTGCAATTACGTAATGTCGAGTTGGCTGAGCGACACTTTGGCGCCTTAAACTTCGATTCGGAGCTATTGTTCGGATATGACGATCTGAGATTTCACGCCGCGCATTAATAGTTTCATCGACAGCATTTATTTATTCGGTCGTATTCTCGCTCTTTGTTCCATCATTGTCAATATATAGTTGACGGTAAAGCTCTCGGTGGGCGAATTCAATTATGGCGCAGTACAGCTATTTTGATATTCGGTACCATAGTATAAGTCAATTATATTACAACAATGGAGAATATCTTCAATTTGTCAAGGGATTATTTGGTATAAATAATTCAATGGGACTGTAAGCAATTTTTAAGTGACGTTAGTCGTTAATTATTACTTAATCGTCCAAATAATAATCTTTGCTGTAATCGATTGGTCATCAAGATTTTTCAAGCCTTTACAAATGACAATGTAATATGCGAGATAACCAGTCAATACCCTGCATCCACGACAATAACAACAACATAAATAAATAAAAAAATTTCAATACCAACTATGTTATTTTTCAATATAATTTCCAAAGTTTTGTGAAAGACGTTTTAACTTGTATTTGAATTTTTGTTAATGTTTTATGTATTTTCACTGCTTCCTATGGATACATTAATATAAAAATTTATAGAGTAAATAAATAACCAACATAATCTCGGTAATTAAATTTGTCTCTTACAAGTATGCTTAAAAAATTAATTTTTAACGTGTTTTTCTTTTTTTAATAAACACAAAAAAGTATTGGTAATTTTGATAAATCTCTTCTTTTTTTTTCTTTTTTTTTCTTTTTTTTTTCTTTTTTTTTTCTTTTTTTTTTCTTTTTTTTTTCTTTTTTTTTTCTTTTTTTTTTCTTTTTTTTTTCTTTTTTTTTTCTTTTTTTTTTCTTTTTTTTTTCTTTTTTTTTTCTTTTTTTTTTCTTTTTTTTTTCTTTTTTTTTTCTTTTTTTTTTCTTTTTTTTTTCTTTTTTTTTTCTTTTTTTTTTCTTTTTTTTTTCTTTTTTTTTTCTTTTTTTTTTCTTTTTTTTTTCTTTTTTTTTTCTTTTTTTTTTCTTTTTTTTTTCTTTTTTTTTTCTTTTTTTTTTCTTTTTTTTTTCTTTTTTTTTTCTTTTTTTTTTCTTTTTTTTTTCTTTTTTTTTTCTTTTTTTTTTCTTTTTTTTTTCTTTTTTTTTTCTTTTTTTTTTCTTTTTTTTTTCTTTTTTTTTTCTTTTTTTTTTCTTTTTTTTTTCTTTTTTTTTTCTTTTTTTTTTCTTTTTTTTTTCTTTTTTTTTTCTTTTTTTTTTCTTTTTTTTTTCTTTTTTTTTTCTTTTGACAAATTATTCTAAACTATTCGTGTAAACAAAGAAAACATTGATCTTCTCTGATTTCTCAATGTACAGAAAACTATTATAATATATTTATAATATAGTAATTTATTTTATTAATAATGGGTATGTAAATGTAAATGCTCAAGATGTAGTTGTTATATTACAAATACTAAAATATAAATGGACTCGATATATGTTTATATATATATACATGTATGGGTGTACATTTATATATTATTTATTTGTAAGGTTTTATAAAAATAATTCTATTTATGAGATATCAAAGCTTATATAGTTCATTTTAAACGTTTGATCTTTCTTTAATAATAAAAATTTTTCCTTACATCTTGTAAAATTAAATTTTCATCATTTTCAGCTTATAGAATGAATAGCATTACTTATAGAATTTGAATAAAGAATTCATTTCGAGAGCTTTGCAAGATTGAAAATCTTGAAAAAATCGACACCTCTATATAAGAAATAAATCGAAATAAAAAATTATCAATGTTCATAAATAATACGTATAAAATGATTGATATTAAATAAATGGTTTGCCAATATTACATAAAGTTTCTTAGTCTTGTGAAAAGCGTATTTCAATTGCCTTGAGGTATAACTTTAATATAACGTAAGCATAACTTATAAGATTATTATATTTTATTTTTAATCGTTATGTAAGAACATCTTCAATGATATTAAATAAGTTTCCACAATTCAAGTGCATACAAAATTGATTAGACTTTTATGAAAATATAATTAATAATTAATGAATTTTTATATCTCGCTCTTGTCCTATCAATTATTATACTCCAATAATTTGACAAATCGTGTCACATCAGATATTGCAATTACATTAACTTCAATATGATAAGAATTTATTTAAACTATTTAAATATTTATCAGTCATATCTACTAGATATATACATTACATAAATTTGATTCGGCCAAGTCACACAATTATTTGAACTTAATATAAATAATATATAATGTCTGTGAATAATTATAACGAATAAAGCTATTAAATGTTCTCTTTAAGCACAAGTTCTTCACCACATCATTGCTTATTAAATACGTACGTACCTGTAGATAGTTCATATGCTAATATATACGCACATACTTGCGCAAAATCATATCCGAAAAGAACTATATTATATATTTATTTACTTTTAGTCAACGTGTTTGATTAATAAAACGTGAAAGGTAGTTAATTGGATTTTAATAAACAATGTTATATTACATATATTTTGATATGTTTTAAATAAATTTTTATGGCAATTTTTACAAATAGTTATATTGTTCGAATAATAATATGCAGCACATATCCATATATGCGTTTACTAATCAGATAACAAATTTAAATCATTAGTCGATCGAACCAATCAAAAGTATGCTTCATTAATTTATCCACTTTTAATCGAGTCTTTTAAAAAGTGAAATTTAAATTTTTAAATTTTCACCTCGACAGTACGCATGGCTCGCGCTCCCGACTGTAGAATTTTTACTTTTGATTAAGTTAATCTATCTCATCATGGAAATTCTATAACAATATAGATATAACATTATCAATATTTAACTGTCCGGCAATATAATTGATAATCGAGGAAGTGCTTTTATGATCACGCACTACTGTATCAAATAAATCGTGTCATTGCAATAACATTTTAATAAGAAATTAAAATTTTAAAATTGGATGGGAATTTCCAAAGGGCGTAGGGGAGGGGCCGTTTTAATTCCCATATAATAATTAATACCAATGAATCAGGTAACCCGATGGAGCACTTGGGAATTTTAAACTACGATGAAAAGGATCTAGAATCACGTATATTTCATATTATAATACGCGAGACAATACGATTGCCCCTCGTGAGAATGAGCTATTGGCATGCGCGTACGTAAACCCATGTGAACGGAGAAAACAAGTATAGCTATGTAACAGGAGTGAGAGAGTAAGAGAGTGAGAGAGAGAGAGAGAGAGAGAGAGAGAAAGAGAGGAAGAGAAATAAGAGGCTTTGCATGTGTTTATCCAGTACATAAGGACGCTACGCGAGCAGATTTACGAAGCACGGGACATGCGTGGAGTACCGCTCCTGGTTGTCGGCAATAAACAGGATAAACTGCCGTCCTCTGTGGCCACTAGCTCCCGGCATCGAGACATCGTCAACCTCGTCCGCAAACACTGGAGATGCGGATACGTTGAGTGCAGCGCGAGATTCAATTGTCGGGTCGTCCAGGTGAGTTGGATCCTAACGAGAGAAGCAAAATCCTCACCGACTCTTCCTTCCTTGCCTTTCTCCAGTTCGCTTCTTTCGACTATTCCACAGCTTTCATTTTATTCAATTTATTTTACCAAGACGTGTGCCATTCGCAATATGTCATCGATGTGTATGAGTGTGAGATCGCACTCGAAGCCAATCCGTGACTTATACGTACAAATAAAGCGGAGTGAGCCGAGAGTCTGCCCGTACGCGTGTAAATAAATCTGAATAATGTACTTCTGCAGATTAATTTTATTGTATTTGAATTTTTTATTATTAAAGTTGATCGGTCATTTAATAAAAAAAAAAAACAAAAAAAAACAAAAAAACAAAAAAAAAAAAACGCAAGATTTATTAAATATATTCAACAAACAATTTTTTTTTCTCCGCATATACGATTGTGCGTGTCTTAAAATAAAATTTGTTCATCGATTACAGATTAAATTGATTTAATGCATATAAATTAGTCGACGTTGTAAAAATTGATTTCTATTAATTAATAATATAATGTAAGCATATTGTATTATAGATATTCACGACGACAATCGCATTATTTTTCATTTTCTTTTCTAACATCACACGTAATACAATGAAGTAATTTGACTTTTAATAAGATTATTGCTTACATGATTTATAGTTATTAAAGGAGATCGATACACTTTGCATCTGAGATCTTACAAAAATCTAAATAATTGTCTAGTACAGTGTTACATATTTACAAGTCAATGTTAAATACATTCTCGGCTATGCCAAATCGTGTGTCAATTCAAAAAGATTTTTGTAGCTACAGCGTCATATGGAAAAAATGGATTTTTCTGAAGTTCTTGTAAATAATAGCAAATAACTGCCATAGAATTTTATTTTACAAATCTTTTATTCAATTGCAAATGTGAATTAATTTATATTATAATATAACGGGCTGACTATCATACATTTTTAAATCTTAATATAATGTAGTAAATATAATTTGAGCATGAAAAAGTATATAAAAATAATAATAATACAACGAAGCCTATAAAATTTAATGAACTAAATTTTTTTTAATAATAATTTTAAAGAGCGTTTAAAATTCAAGGAACGTTATTTGGAAATTAATTAAAAATATTATGATGCGTAATAATTAAAACTAATCTTGGTGCTTGCACATCCTTATAAAATTTATGGAAAAAGATAATAAGAGTATTAGTACATCGTAAATAAAATATTTTTTTAATATATTTAATTAAAGTAGAATTTAATTCGTTGCGCATTAATCCCTTGAAATTAATTGGCCAAATTAGAAGCCTTACCATGAAATTATTATTTTCATTAGCTGAATGCATTTAAACGACAATTAAATAATGTAGAGTTTATTTATCTCCTCGTATACTGGCGTATAATAATAACACAAAAGACATTCACAAGACAAAAAACACATACACAAAGTGTTTGTTTATTGGATAAAGAATGTTCAAGCCTCTCTTCACGCTTTAAGAAATACGTGGATAATAAAAATAAGAAGATAATAAATCAAGACAGAGGAGAGATGAAGTAAATTGTCAATAAATATAAAATACTTTTGCATGGAAATGTGATTTGTTTGACATACTTGTAATGCGCAGGTCTTTCGCGAACTGATGAAAAGTATCCAGGCTGTGGAAGGTAAATCGTCTTCGCCAACGCCTACGAGTTCGCAACCACTTCGTCCACATCCACAGGTGGGCGGTGCGGTCGGCAATGTCGGCACCGACAAGTGCATACTTCTCTGACATTAAATGAAAGGGTCACTGTTGCTCTCTTTGCTCTTGGAGCCGAGGAAGCATTTTATTACTACGCACGTTGGTGAAAACGAGCTAGCAGCTTTTAATCGCGACTAAAGAAATCAATAATAATGTATAAAGATCATACGAATAAAGACAACCCGAATAGCCCTTTCCTAAGCATTAAGTAAGAGAAAGTTAATGGAAAATGGAAAATCGATTATCAAATAAGCGAACAATAATGGTGACTTAACGAGCGTAGCGGAACCTACGATTGTTTAATTAAGGAGGGCAAGTTTGAGCTGAACCGACGACTTGACGTTGCAATTAAGTACGTACCACCTAATGCTTTCTGAACAATGTCGGAACAATATCTTTTGTTTGTCAAGAGTTTAAAGAAAATGTTGAATAGGTGGAGATAATTTATTATTGAACGTGCACGGCCTAATGCAGCAATGTGTCATGCGTGGCATAGGGCGGCTCAAGCAATACTATTATTATCGCGTGATGATCACGCGTTGTATATTTTGCTATTATAATAAGCATCGAGAGAGTTCTTTCGCGCCGTACTAGAATTTATAGAACGAAAAGCAAGAAAAAATTATAATACAAAAATTATATAATTTTCCGTAAGTTTAATAATTACGGGATCCACGTCGAGTAATATACCACGTGTTTTTAGTGATGAATATAGGCTAGTAAAACTGACAAAATGAAAAAGGATTGATTAAACAAACGTTAACGAGCCATATGCGTTACATACAGTATATTGTTTGTAAAATATGAAAAAATTGATTAAATAATAATAATAATAACAACAACAACAACAACAACAACAACAATAATAATAATAATAATAATAATAATAATAATAATAATAATAATAATAATAATAATAATAATAATACTAATAACAATAACAACAGCAACAACAACAGCAACAACAACAACAACAACAACAACAACAATATTAATGATATGAGATTTTAACTATAGGTAATATTATAAAGCGTTAATGAGAATAAGAAAAACGTGACTCTATATATTATAATAATGCTAATGTCAATTTGTCGACTTCGGGATAGAAAATTTATCAACTTTGATAGCATTGACTGAAGTATGCAGAATAATAATTGCTAAATACACAATCGCACTTTATAATGACGATAATGATAATGATTGTGTTAAAAAAGAGAAGAGAGAGCGAGAGCGAGCGAGAGAGAGAGAGAGAGAGAGAGAGAGAGAGAGAAAATTGAAAAATTAAAATGAAGCTTTTTTAAGATTTCTATATACGGTTTATCAGTTTTATTTGATCGATATGTATTTTTGGTATAGATGGGTTTGAATAAACGACAAAAAAAAAAAAAAAATGAGAAATAAAACGCTGTGACACGTTATGTGATTTTTAGTACAGGATGGTAAAATAAGGTAAGATAAAGTAACAAACAAAAAAAAAATGGTAAAAAAAAGGAGAAAAAGAAGAAAAAAGAAAAAAAAAAGTGATAGAGTTCAATTTTACAGGAGTGAAAGAATAACACAGATACATATATATATATATATATATATATATCTATATATATATCTATTATTGGAGTGCCAAGTTTATATTTCTTACACTTAATTTAGAATCACGTATACAGGGTGTATAATTATTTATGTGTGGTAATGTTCATTCCAAAGAATCCTTTATGGGCGTGAATTGTTAACATAGAATATATTTTATTCTACAGTTTAACCCTTCCGCGTAATTAAGTTAATTATAATGTGTACGTTTTACCTTGAGGTGATTCATTTTCGTAACTGAGCTGCGCGAACATAATTGAAACTGTGCCATGTTATATTATTAGCTAAATAACCTATCGAATATGTAATATTCGCTAATTGTTTTTACCAAAATTTTCTCGCATACTTTATTAGTTACAAACAAAAGCTGACTACGCAGTTCGTGTATTAAAAATATGAGAATGTAAACTGTAAACGTTGTTGCAATTTGAGATGTGGCGGGAGTAACGACGACAAGTGAGAAATAAATATAGTAAAAACCTTGACATCAGCTGTATTCAGTACCTAACCTTTCCTTCTAAATTCTCAAGTGGTCTTTTGCTAGCTCATTTCATTATACGAAATTCTCGGTTACAATGGCTTCTAAGCAACTTTTTCAGTGTAATTTTTAAACTCACAATGTTATTTCGTGACAAGTCCAAGGGGTAGAATAAAAATTACTGCGTTAGCGAACGATAGTTCATCAAAATGTTTCAACTCTGTCGAAATGTGAAAATTAAATACCAATTCTTGGAATCAGCAAACGTTCTACTTTTCAAAATTGATAGTTCAACATCGTCTAGCAATTCTACAACTAATAATGAGAGCTTTGTGTTAAAGGTAAAATTTTATTGTATTTTAGGTTATGTCTTCCAACTATATATTTTTATTATGTAAATTTGATGTAATTCGGTAATATTTACATAATTGGTTCGATAGTGTAATTCAAAAGAAAAATTTATATTGTCATACTGCTGACAGAATTAAGGTATACGTATGCCTTCAAAACTATTTTATCGATTTTTTTTATCAAACATTTGATGACGTATTGGTAAATTTAATAGCTATTTACTTCCAATTTTAACATTAATTATTTAATTGCTCTGCGTCGGTTAATTAAGAAAATTGAACAATAAAAATATGTATTTCAATTAGATAAACGAACGAATTATTTTAAAGAATTAAAATAATCACGGGATTTGTGTTTGGTAATTAGAATCATATAAACGTAAAAATTCATGCAATGCATTCGTCTAATCATTATTAGGCCGTAAATATTTCCTTAAAAAAAAAAAAAAAAAAAAAAAAAAAAAAAAAAAAAAAAAAAAGTAAATAAAAAGAAAAGAAAGAGAAAAAAATGATAACAAACATTTCGTGTAAACAGTTTAATCGATACCTTATTCTCACTGAGTTTTACTACTTTAAAATTTTCATTCAAATTCAAATAAAAAATGATAACAAACATTTCGTGTAAACAGTTTAATCGATACCTTATTCTCACTGAGTTTTACTACTTTAAAATTTTCATTCAAATTCAAATGTTGTGCAAGCCAATATATATATATATATATATATATATATATATGTAGCAGTATCATATTAAAAAATGGATTTTTAACGACGTTCGTGACCCTTAAACATATTGCTTAACATCAACAAAATTAAAACATAGAAATGTTTATCAACTCATTTTACAATGAAATACAATTTTTTAATATTGTCGACGTGTTTTATGCATGAAAATGCAATGATCCAGGGCACTGCGCAAAGTGCGAGACTTAATAAGAATTATGTAAACCGAAACCTTCGTGTTATTAATTTGACATGTTTTTTTTTTTTTTTTGCTGGGGTTATATTGTAGCTATTGTCGACGAGGGGAGTACCGAGCACGAGTACGGATCTCAAGGAAGCTTTGTGCGAAAAAATACCCCTCCATCATGATCTCCTGAGGAATTTTCAGCAACTCCATGGATTGGATGTGGTTAGTCAAGTCACCGTCAATGATATCTATCGCGGACTCAGCGGCGTAGATGTTTTAATTCGGGAAACATCGGAGGTCAATACGAAAAGCCAAGTAAGACTTATTTTCCTCGATACATGACGCGATACTTTAAATAAACGAATTGCGTTAAAAATCATTGTGTAGATCCTTCCATTTCCTGTTTGTTACTTGCTAATAAACTCGACAAACGTATGTTTACAATCAGTACCGATTATAGATTATCATTATTTTTACATTATTTTAGTGATATGGAATTTATGCAAGTACTTGATTAGCATATTAGCGGCAATAGCAGTGTTTGTGAAAACTAATAATTTACTCGACATCATTAAGTTTTTAAATAAACGAAATTTTCATATGGAATTTGTCCCTGAAACGCCCGTATAAGTTTTTATCTATAGCAATTTCCTACCGCTTTATTCGATCGTTGTGCTATAGAATTAAATTCGGATGAACTTTTTGGTTTGCTATAAAAGCTTTTGTAAAATCAATGTGATATTAAAAGTTTCAAATTGATAAAAACAGCGTTACTAAGAAAGAGTATGGGAAGAAGAATTTCTGCCGTAGAATATTATGAATGCGCTTTTGAAAATAATGTATGCCCACAAAAAATAAATAAATAACAAGATATATATATATATGTATAGAATCACTTGTCAACGTACAACGTTAATTGTAATTACTTTATATATAAGCATTATTTATTTATTATTTTTTATAAACGCACGTTTATAAAAAAGGAAAAAAAGAAAAAAAAAGAAAAAAGAAAAACATAGTTACATTTATCTGTTACATTAATTTTGTTATGTTTATATTTTTAATATTTTTATAATCCATTAACATTAAGTAATATTGTTGATAAAGCTTTTCACGCTTCCAAAAATTCATTAATAATATAATTTTATAATACTTTTAAGAGCTACGGTAATAACACGTATGTTTACAGAAGGTAAAGTGTTGTGGCATATGTAATCGCCGAGTCATAAATCATAGATTATTTTGCAAGTAGAACATCAAACAAAATAACAATAATGAGAATACATTTTTTTTCTACTTATAGAAATAATTTTCTACCTCACTGTCCCATATTTTTCCAATACTTTAACATCTTCATTGTAATCAATGATTTTTATGATATTTTTTTATAAACATTTGCTTAAAATAAAATGCCTTAAAATTATTAATATATATATATATATATATATATATTATATTATATTATATTATATTAATATAATAATAAAATTAATATATTACGGCATTTTCCAACAAATGTTCATTACAATATCAAAGATAACGATCATTTGTTGTCGTCGTCGTCGTCATCGTCGTCGTCGTTGTTGCTTTCGTTATTATTATTATTATTATTATTATTATTATTACTATTATTATTATTATTATTATTATTATTATTATTATTATTATTTGTATTACATGCCAAGAGAAAGATAATGAAATGTTGATTAAAAGGAGACAATCGCGACTAATGCTGGTATTGTTCAATAGCAGTGACTGAGAAAGAGCAAATTGCTCAATTATTCAAAAATATATCACTATATTTAAACGTCGATTAAAATCACGAGCTACTGAGATATGATATAACATTGAAAATATGATAGTAAGGCAAATAAATGAATTTAAAACGCTAATCTTGCTCAATGAAGACTGTGTAGAGATGACGTCCAATTCTCCTTTCAATCGAATATTCGCGAGTAGCTCTAATGCACTTTATTTCTCATGACTTCCATTTCCATTTTAAAACCATCATGTCAATCTCTTCTAATCCACATAAGCTCGTAACGGAGATAAACCGAGTGTGCGCTGAAAGTAAAAAACCGCAACTTCAGATAAAATACAGAGGATTATCCATACCGGAGCTCTTCGACCTTCTGCCCCGTAAGGGCAAGTCGCCCAGCCCCGAGGCCGTCTTCTGGCTCCTGCTGACCGGTGACGTCCCCACCATCCAGCAAGCGGAGTCACTGATGGCCGACTGGACCGAGCGCCGTGACAGACGCAAGGATTGGTGGTGGTCCGGGTCGCCCGGCAAGTCAGGGGGCGTAGTCGGCAACGTCCTCCGGGCGCTGCCGCAAAACGTCTCCCCCGTCGCGAGGTTGGCAATCGCACTCACAGCCCTCGACGCCGACAAGCATTACAAAGAGGCCCTGAAGACCGGAGCCTTGAGTTACACTTACTGGGAGGTGGGTCAAGCTATCTCGACATTCGAAACCGTTGCTCGACGGCCAATTCATAGGCCCTTTTATTTATTATTTTTTATCGAGGCAAGGATCAATGCTCGTTCGAACGTGTTTTTTATTTTTTGTTTATTCGACGTTCCAATAGCGTTCCGTTGCGTCGATATTGCATCCATTAGTTGTGCGATTTGGCCATTTTAGTCGTGTTCTTATTTAAAAATAATTTTCATAATGACGAGATGAAACGATTTTCGTATTATAAATATGATTGAATATGGATTTTAATATGGATCCTAATATTCAATTACATTCAAAATTAAGCAATGATTAATTTATTATATTTTCATAATGGTAAAATGATTATTTATTTCTTAATTGACATTTTCTTCAATTAATAAGGGAAATATTAATTATTACATATTGATAAACATAATGGTTTCTAAATATTATTGAAACATTTTTTCAACAATTTTAAACATTAAATAATAATATAATGAGTAGTCGGTGCTGTAATTAATGATACAAATTACAAATAATAACGGAAAATTTCGATCGAAACTTAATACATAATTATATTTCACTTGATCTAAATTTTTGTAAATAAAAATGCTTGTAACCTGCCTAAGGAGTATCGTTTTTCTTAATCTAATGTGTCGACAGTAATGTACAAATTCGTTACTTTCTTAATCTATTGCATTTTTCATATGTATATATATATATATATATATATATATAAATTGCTAAATATAGATAAAAATTATTGATATAAAAATGGACGTCTATATTTAATAAAACATTTAAATTTAAATCTAAATTATCCGAATTGGCGGAAACCTTTAATTTATTGATTTTGAAAATAGTATTGAGTTAAAATATTAAAAAGAACGTCCATTCAAACATCCATAAAAAAAAAAAAACAAAAATTTATTCAATTTGTTGAATAATAAAATTTATTAAAATTCATTATAATATTTTTATCTTGATATAGAGAATAAAAGTATTATAAAAAATGTATTTCAAATTATTTTTGTTAATGCTTCAATAACTAAATTGATATCAACATTCGTGTTTATTTATCCAGTATTAAACAATTATTATACGTTAAATTATTATTATTAAATGTCTCTCTTCATATAAAAGTTGCACGATTCTTTTAATAAAATTCTTTTTAACTAATGCAAAAATAAAACGGGATTAGTTCTATAGTACAAATTGAAAAATTGTAATTTTTTACAAATAATCAAAATCCACAATCCACACAAAAATGTTTTTGAGCACAAAGAATTTATTTTATCCTCAAATTTGAACGTTGACAATGTATTTACATGTATATTTACTGGATTTTTAATAACACTGTTTAAAAATCTATTATTTTACATGAATACATGTAACCAGATAAATAGTACAAAGAAAATGTTTATAACCGATATATAAATACATACGTATATATATATATATATATATATAGACACATCCATATATTTATACACGAATGTATGTAGATACGATGTATTATATGTCATAGTTTTTTATTCAAAATATAGAATATTAATAGATAAATTACATAAATTTAAATTACATAAATTTAAAAATTAAAAATACAGAGACATTATGTATTGCGTTGTACTATGAATAAACTTCTGACACACTTTAGCACGTGCACGCTATCGTTTTAAATATACCATACTTAAGCAGTATTTAAATAGACTGTGCTTTAAGTAAGGTTTCATTAATATTTTGATTAATAATTCATTAAACATAAAGCATTGCAACTTGATGTATGAACGAGATAAGTCGAAATTAAAAAAAAAAAAAACAAAACGCGAGCATGAAGTAAGCGATGTGAATGGTCCGTTAATGATACTTTAAAAAGTGCAGTGCACGCACAAAACCATGAAACTAACTCTCCTCCTTGGGAATTATTATCGCCCAACCGAACCGACTCATTAATTATATCTCTCGCACTGCAATATATAGCACATTTACGAGGACAGTATGGAACTATTGGCATCGTTGCCCGCCATCGTTGCCCTTGTGAGTGCTTGCGAGATGCAACCAACGCCCTTATCACTGCAAAAGTCCGATTGGGTCGAATTCTTTCTCGACTGTCTGCACAATACCGCCAACAACTTCACCGAGGCTCAGCAGCAGAGTCTTGGAGATTTTCTAAGGCTCTACATCACCGTGAACGCGTGAGTTATCCGTTTTTCAGCGGGAGGCCCGTCTACGAGCCTGATTTATACTTTCAGGCAATAACAAACACTTTCTTGAAATTTCTTGACAGCTTCCTGTCAATATTGCTTTTCATATTAAATTAATTAAACGCACATGGTGACATTAGAAAAGGCAAGCTTTTGTTATCTCATCAACTGTCGAGCTTGTGTTGGCGTATTTCAATCAAAATCAATATGAAATTCTTGTCGAAACAATTTCATTAGTACCTTTTTATTTATATTTTTTTTTTCTTTTCAAGAAATTAGATAATTCATAGGTACTCTCCTTAATTGAATTGCATTGAATATTAAGGTTAATCATCTCATTTATTTACCTTTCAAATTGATATTACAATGCCTCGGTACTATTTTATAAGCAGTATATTTTTATGTTATTCTACATATATATCGGATTTTATTTTTGATATTATTATGAAAGTTTATCGTAAAATTTATCAGCGCGCTTAATTGAGAAGCACTTAATTTTACTTTTACAATTTGATATTTTTATTTAATAACACTAATTATTAAAATTTTAAAGCAAATTTGTTTATTAGTATAAAATTCTAGCACTTTATAATTTTACTACGTAATTATAACATCTAAGAGAAATTTTATTATTATTAAAATTATCATTATTTTTAAAATATCAATTGTTCACATCTTCTCTGTATTATAAAAAATGCATATTATTGTGCATGCGATACTTTTATAATTAAAATATTTCTTTATAATTGTTTATAAATTAATGATCGTGTTTGACTATTTTAAAGTTTTGATATTCAAAAAAAACTTTTCTTAATTAAGCTTCTGAAAGTTTAACGTAAATGTTTGATATTTAATTATTTATAAAATATTTTAAATATTGCTATGTATTTGTTAAGAAGAAGATGATGGAGAATGGACAGTAGTATAAATTTAAATTGTTACTATTACTAGTAATCTAATAAATAAACAATGTCGCCAGTAATAATTAGCATTTTCAATAAATTTATATTACAATGTAAATTCATTAATTGGATACTTATATCGTTTTGATTTTCTTGTTTTTTACGATAATTTACAACATATATTAGAATTAAAAATCTTTTATAATATATTAGATTTATTAATATTGAATTATAAATAAGGCGATCTTACTTAAACTTCAAACGTGATGGTTGTAATCTTAATTCTATCGATTTACTTGTTCGACACTAAAAAGCAAATCGAAAACACAATTGCACAATAGTATCACATTTGTTTATGGCGTGATATTTTTTTTAATTGTAATCGATTAACATTTTGCAAAATGGAAAATTTATATATTCTTTCATTGTAGTATGAGTTAATAATATATTATATAATTTAATATATGTGTTTGTGTTTTTGTCTCTGTGTGTGTGTGTGTGCGTGCGTGCGTGCGTGCGTGCGTGCGCGTGTGTGTGTGTGAGTATTATTTATAATTTACGAATGATATATTATTACTATTAAACTATATGTAAGCTAAAGACAATAGGGAAATTTCTTCTAATATGATAAGCTTCGGTTTTTTATTATTTGAAAAATAGAATATGAAATAGTATGTTGATAGGAAATTTTCCACAACAAATTTATGTAAAATTATGTAAAATTGATTTTATTAATATGCGAATGTAAAAATAATACAATGAAAAATATAAAACGTTATATTTCATATTTATCATATATTTACATAAGAGCTTGGGATTAATCTCTTTTATACGAAAGCATTGAATGCATTGATGAGGGTGAAAGTTTTTGTGGCTTATTTCTATAAAACTTTATTTGATAATTCTTTTATTAGGGACGATGACGGAGGAATACCAGGAGCACACGTGGCACAGATTATGGGATCCTGCCAATTCGATGCAAGTCGAGCTTTAGCCGCAGGTGTACTTGCATATGCCAATGAACCCACAAGTGGTACACTCTATCAAGTATGTATTATACATCCATATGGCAAATATTCCTCTTGTGTACTAAAAGGATGGCGGTGTATGAAAATGGCAGCTTCAATCTAAGTAAAGTCGCAAAATTTTACTCACGCGATCACCTTCAAGTATATACTTCACGATAATCATAAATTACAAACTACGTTAGACTCAATTGTCAAATAATATTAACATTCATCGCTATTTTATTTACCGTATGAGCTTAATATTATACAAAGACGTTATATATAGAAAGACAGTTCATTCATTTAAAATATAAATAGATATTTATTATTGAAAAAATAATGATTAAAAATATTTTAAATATTAAAAGATTAATACATTTAATATTACATTCAAAATTTCCATATGAAAACTTTTATTTAGCGCATTAGTTTTAAAAATGATTTATACAATATAAATTAATTAAAACGTGATTCATAGTTCTTTTTCTTCTTTTTTTTTCTAGTACATGAACTTCCTGATACAGTTACAAAATGCTGTTGGGCGAGAACCAAAACATGATATTTTGCGAAACTTTGTCAATACTCTTATTGAGAAACGATATCAAATAGCTGGTCATAAAATTTCACAATTCGAAGACTCGCGGTACAAGGTTTTGCAAAACTTTGTGAAAAATTATGTACCTAATAATTCAGAAATAAAGGTAACGACTGCGTACTCTTCAATTTAAACAATTATTATAAACATAATTCTCATAGAAAATTTTATAAGAAAATTTGTATATTAATTAGCTGTAATTAAATTAATTATACTTTATTAATTAATATTGTATAATTATTAAAATTAGTAAAATATAATATATAATATACAAAGTTATATATTTATAGTGGCTTTAAGTATTAATGTTATTTTATACTATTTTATACTATTTTACTAATGAGTTATAGTATGGCAATGTATAATTGTACTAATTAAACAATTTGTTTTAGTTATCCCAAGAAATATCTGACATTTACACTAAACAATTGAAGCAAGCAAGAAACCACTCGGTAGTCGCTGAGCAAAATGCAATCGCGGCACCTTTATTTCAAGTACAACTACTTTTATAATTAATCTAACGTATAAATAATCATCTATATAATTGTTAAAAGTAAAAGTATGAATGATTCCAAATTATGTCTGCGTAGTTTTACGGTTTGCGAGACATGGATTATAACCAGCTTCTGCTATGCATGTCACGGGCTCTCGGCATTGTGGCTTCAATGATATGGACAACAGCTTTAAACGCACCGGTTGAGCGACCGAGATCGAAATGTACCTACACGTATTTCAACGACTTTAGGCATAACCCTTCGAAACCCCGCTCCAGGTCTACGAAAATTACAAGAACACCGGGAAATAAAAATGCAAAGTGATATTGACGATTGAAAAATTACAATACGACTAGAACTATATGGTTATGTGAAAGTAAATCTGTGGTCGAACATAAATGATGAGCTATATGGTATTATATTATTTAGATAGACGCCAAATATTTCTTACCATTCTTATTAAATTTTAATGAATATTTTACTATTTATTTGATTGCATGAAAATATATAGAATGTTAAATTTGTATTTTAATATTTTACGCTTAAAAGTAATATTAAATCATAATTAATTAATGAACTTAAAATGATGTCCACTTAAAATTATGTGTAATTAGAATGTAATATTTATTGATATATATATATATATATATATAGTTACTTTTAAAAGTACTGTGGAAGCTTCTGAAAGATAAAAGATTAAAGAAACGTTAAGAAAACAGTAGTTTGTTTTTTTATAACCATCCATTATTTATAAAATGTTCGATAATAAAATTTATATTATTGTTCGATTAAAGTAATAGTTAAAAAATATGTTATAAATGTTTCATAAACTATGATATAACTATATCGCAATTATGTTAATTAAAGTAAATTCAATTATACGTATTATTTATAAAGCAACTATAAGAAAATAAAATTTTTTTTTCATAAGTGCCTCCATAAAACTAAATAGTACGTGAATAAATGTAGACTAATTAATGTATTCACACTTCTACATAATATCAGATGTGTGCGTGTGTGCGTGCGCGCGTGTGTGTAATCTAACATATCACCCGTTGATATATAAAAATAGAACATAATTTTTTATTTATAATTAAACTTTATAATAATATAATATTAATTGCTGTATAAGGCTTACATAGGGCCAACATGGTAGAGGCTCTACTAAATATTTTTAAAAGAGCCTTTTATTTCATAATTTCTCTAACATTGTCTCGCCTAGTACTTGTATCTATGCTATATAGCAGACAAAACGATAGAACATATTGAAAAATCAAATCTTCTCAAATTATCGATTTGACACAACAATTCTATGTACACGTAATATGTAAATATTAATGTCAATGAAAATTCTGCATCTTCTTTCATTCGCTCACCTGTCGACGTATCCTTTAATGCAACCAACAATGCAAATTTCCTTTGACAGCTTATTTTTCAAACACTGTTTAATTATATATATTTTTATAACTTTCCAATTAAAAGCCCATGTATTCCATTTTGTCACGTAATAAATAAGTGATGATAGCAGAGGAATATTTATTTGCATACTATGCATACTATCTATCATAAGTGCCTTGTATCTGAAAACCTACTTTATTGATATCGTTTGAAACAGATTTATGACAATACACGCACTTTTCATGCTGCTCTTGGCAATTACTAAAGCAAGTGATTTAATATCACTATTACGCAACTAATACAATTAAATGTATTGTCTGTATTCCAAAATTCAAAACTCTAGTCGCCAGTAGTTATAAGCTCTTAATCTATGATGTACATACGGAAAATGTAAACCCGCGCAGCAGTTTTCTTTTAATAAACTTAATCGAGACGTTTCCTCTTCTATATTGACATTACTAAGCGTGTATGATAATGTTTATTGAGCAACATCTGTTGATCCTAATTAAAAAAGGTTGACTAAAAAGTAAGAAGACTATATTTTATAAAAGTTCAATTACACAATAATCGTACATTATATGATAAGAATAGATTTTTATTTAGAAAGTGATAAATATTTCAAATATTTCAATTAGGAAGGCGCGATTGAATAAATAAAACAAGAATTATTAGAAAAATTATTGTACAATTTTATCGAGCAAAATCCGTTGAAAAATATTAATTCTTCATAATTTGGATTTTTTTAAAAATCGAGTCCCTTTTTTTGACGATAATTTAACAATCGTGTAAGTGAAATATTTTTTTTTAAGTTTAAACATTTTTTATTTATAAGATTGAAATTTGACGTCAATTCTATTTTATTTATTAATTATTCTGATGCAATATAAATACCTACGATTTTAAACGATTTTCAAACACTACGTAATTCTCCTATTTTCATTTACGCAAATGTTTCTTTACTTGCGTAAGCACAATCTTAATTTACTATTGTTTGTTAATTTTTTGTAATATAGTAAATACTGAATTTAATAACTTGTGATGGAAGCGCAATGTAAAAGTGACAAAGCGCAATTTTATTAAGATTTTTCTCTTAATGGTCGATTCTCTTTCGATAGAACTATTATAAATTTGTATTAATTCAATATGTAAAACAATCAAGGCTTCTATTTATCTTTCCTCATCAATTTCAAAAAAAGCATTTTATTTAACAGACACGTTTAGAGAGCACAGTTTACAATGTAACGGTATTTCCTTATTCTTTTTGAAATTACAAAATTTGCAACTGCGGAAGTGGAAGGGATACATTCCTGCCCATTTTTTTTTTTTTTTTTTTCCCAAATAAGTATTTAATATGCTGTAGCCTATACCTAACCTATCTAGTTTAAAGTATTCTATGTCAAGTGACAATGACAATGGGTGTCGATTATGTCTATAGTGTCATTTAGTTTGATTTTAACTTTCCCTTACCTTAACTATACAGACAGATTTAATACTTGAAACAATTTTATTAATTTTGTTACTAGATTTGTAAATTTTATATTAATAAGGGTGAAAAGTTTAGTATCGCTGCGAAGCTGTTAAATTGTTAGAGGTTAGTAATATACCGTTTGACTAATATGGATTTACTTTATGCCATATGAAAAACAGTGTGATGAATAATAAAGATGAATAATAAATTCCGAAAATGTATAATATATTCAATTAGTTATAATATAAAATTAGTTGTATTATAATCAATCAAATTGATAAATACAAATACATGAATTTTAATTTCTAGCATTTTATTTGTTAATTAATTTTTCTATGACGAGGGCCTTTAATTAATTTTCACAAAAATTTTATTTCATTTATAGAATAATAAATAAGACTGCATTTTGAAGCGATGGCTGCTCATAACTACCGAAGTGATCCAAAAAATCCATTTTTTTCATTAGAAGATGATATCGATGATGAGACTTTTTTAAGAAGCGCACCTCCAAGATATCCAACTGCCTATAACAATGGAATCAATCGTTACAAGAATGAAGATAATGAACTTGAACGAAAGCATCAGGAACTTGTTGAACGACAAAAAGTAATAGAAACTAGAACGATTAAATCATCTGAACGCTCTATATCATTATTGAGAGATACAGAAGAAGTTGGCACTGCCACTGCTGAGGTATTTTATCATTAATTATATTTTTTTTATTACTTTAATTACTTGAGTAAACAAAATCCTATAGTGCAGTGTATCGTAATGTATAATTCGATGTCAAGTTGAAAGATTTTTTATTGAATATGTCATCGTAGTTTCAAAACAATAATATCGAGAAAATAGGTATTATTTATATGTGTCACTTGTAGTATTAAAAATAAAATATTTTTAGAGATCTATTATTAATTGAATTATATTAGTAGGTATATAAAATAAGCAAACGCTCGCTTGATTATCTATTTATTATAAATATTAATACTGTAACTTATTTAAAATTTCAAAGCCACATTTAACAATTGATTTAATATAAATTTTGCCTATCATTATCTTAAAATAATGTGGAGGTAAAATAAAATTTTTGTTTAAAAATGTAAGTGCTATCATTAATTTATAGAAAAATCGAACGATGTAACTTAATTCATATGAATAAATAATGAGTTTATGTTTTATATATGTAAATGTGTATGTAATTAATTCATTTGTTCGTGTGTTATAAATAATAAAAATTCATTTTTATTTCTGTTTCTAATTTAAATATACTTTATTGCAAATATGATATACTTTGAATGCTCTGTTTTTTAATTAAAAATAAAAGAAATTATCATATTAAGCTATTTATTTTCGTACAGGAATTAATCAGACAACGAGAGCAATTGGAACGAACGGATAAGCGTCTTGATGATATAAATAGTACTTTACGTTTTAGTCAAAAACATATTCAAGGAATAAAAAGTGTCTTTGGCGGATTGAAAAATTATTTTAGCGGTAGTAAATCTATGGATTTAATACCTGGATCAAGTGCTACTGGAGTAAAGACTCCAGAGTCTCCTGTATCTCCTATATCTCCTATATCTCCTATATCTCCTACATCTAATAATAGTCTAGTTGATAAACTCAATACTTCTGCTGAAAATATTAGAAGAAACTCAGAACATCCATCATTTCGTATTCGTGGATTATCCGAAGAAGAACAAAAATATGATATTGCACCTGCTAAAAATATCGCAGCCGTATTAGAAAAAAATTTGGATGAAATGAGTGGTTCGATTGCACGATTAAAAGGTTTGGCCATTGGCCTATCAGAAGAAATCGATACGCAAAATGATTTAATTGATAGTATTACAGACAAAGCTGAAAAGGCTGATATCACGTTACAAAGACAAAATAAGGATATCAGACATTTATTAAAAAAGTAATGATTTTTTGAAAATTTCATATTATTGTTTTGAATTATTATCTACCTTATTATTGTTTATGTAAGTGAAACTATACATATGAAGCAACCTCAATCACTTGCAAAGGAGGAATTTTGAAAAGACTAGTTCAGTGAAATTTCTAACTAGATGCAGCTTTAATAATTTGAATATATCTTAAGGAAATAATGAAAATTATTTTTATAATAATTTGCTATTTTGCGTAGATTTAATTATTTTATTGTAAGTAAAAATAATTTGGAATAAGTGATAAATGTTTGTACTTATTCATTTACAATAAAATATATATATGAAAGTAATAAAATTTAATAAAACATAAACTAATTTGTACATATAAAAAAGATAACAATATTGTTTAAAATTTATAATAATTTAATAATTTTAAGAAAATTTGTATAAAAGTTATAATTATTTATAAAATACATAGTTTAAAAATGTCATATGGAAACTTAATAAAAAGCTGCTGTCAAAAACGAAAATTTCAATTGTTCAACAATTCAACATCATCTATTGAGTAGTGCATTGTTGTGCGTGCGTGCGCGCGCGTGCCTATGTAGTTGATATAATGAAGAAAAACATGTTATACCTAAAAATAAAATAATCAAGGCATTTATACTGGTTTTATCATTAAAATTTTGCCAATTGACTTTCAATGCGATGCTCACTCTAGCATTCCATTAAATTTGCATCCATTGGTTGTTTGTTTGTTTGTTTGTTTTTTTTTTTGTTTTTTGTTTTTTAATTAAAATATTCAATGTATAAACACAATTCTATAATTGCATACGTTAATTAAAATAACTTCCTGATTCGTTAACTTCATTCGCTACGGAAGTTGCTTCAAACGCCAAACGTTGGGCTTCGCGCTCTGCTGCTATTGCTGCATGTTCAGATGCAATTTTGTGGAACAAATTTAAATGACGATTTTTTGCTCTAGCGACACTTAGGGAGTCCTAAATATAAAAATAATTTAATCAAATAAGCGTCTTCTAAATAATTTTATACATACAAAACCAAATATCAGGCAAATCAAAATATAAATTGAGAGAAATTTTTAATTTTTTATATTATTTACAATCTGCATTCTATATCTTATATTGTTATTATTATTATTATAAATTGGCAAAAAATAAATATATATATATATATATATATATATATATATATATATATATATATATATATATATATATATATATATATATATATATATATATATATATATATATATATATATAGCATATATTTTTATTATCGTTTTATGAAATTAAAGAAAAACAATTTTTTTAACTATCAAAAAATTTAAATTGAACACTAAAATATGATTTCAAAAACATTAATTTTTTATACAGATACATAATAATCGAAATATATTTTATGAATTCAGTTTTATTCAGTGTAATATTATAATCGTACGTAAAAAAAGTTACAATCATAGATTCTTATTCAATTTATTAATGCATAAAGAATTCATATTTCTTCTTAATTAGTAAAGTAAGGAAAAATTATTTTTCGATGTTATACCTTAGGTAGTTGAGCTGGTGTACCCTGGGCATTCGTAGCTGCAATTTTTTCATAAAGTATACGATGCTTTTCTTTTTCGCGCTGAACAGCTTCAGAATCTTTTGGCTGCTCAAGGATATCATCAAAATTTATCAGTGATTGTTTAACGCCATTTTCATTCGCTATATATTGAACAGTTCGGACTTTGAATTTTGGATCAATAAATGAATAATATCCTGTAAAAAAGTATATATTAATATATTGATACAGGCATTGATATTTGTATATAATAATACGCTAAAGGTACAATTACAATTACAAGTCCGTCATAATGTGAAATATTATATAGAAATTAAAAACTCAAAATTTATCATAAATATTATATAAAGATTATTTCTATAATAATATTAATACACTATCTGTTATTTTAATTTCTATAAAACCAATGAGGAAATAAAATTTATTCAATTCTTTTATTTATTACCAAGTAATAAACTTAAACAGAATTTATTGTTGATTTTACCCGCGATTGCATTAATAATTCGATTTAAATTTATCCATTCTCCATATATCATAAAAGCGAGGAAAGCATCATTTAATAATCAATTTTATTATAAAAATGAAATTAATTAATATTTAAAGTAGAATTCATTGAATGAAAATGTGACTAATAATAGAATGAAAATTTCTGACAATGCATTGATACATTGTTTAAATGCTCTTTGACTTTACTTTTTGTTTAAATATATAACGAGGTCATATGTACTTACGGGAAATAAATTTATTGACGGAAAAAAAATAATATAAAACATATTATACCTCAAAATATCGATTCAAAAGACAATTTTTAATGTTAATTTTGACTTAAATACATTTTTTACAATATGCAATATTTTAAATATTTACAATGTATTGTACTAATTAATTAAATTTTTATTTTTTCCTAATTAAGATGATTAAGTAATTTTCAAATACTCCTACGCGAATAAATATCTTGCTTAATCTTTAAGATTTAATTCATATTTTTTTAGTTGTTGCAATTCTGCATTAACGACCAATATCAAAAGCAATTAATAATATAATTCTTAGAAAATAAAATCCTTTTCAGGATGGTATTTATCAGAAATAAAATATAATCTCATAATACAATCTCATAATAATATTTGTAAAAAGCAAATACTTTAAAGAATATAACTCTAGATCTCTAGAAAATCACGATTGGTATTTAATAAAATATATCCACTTAAAATACAACTGCAATGATAAAATTATTTTTCTAACTCACTTCTCATATGAGTAGACTGTACATCGTCACCTATACCATCCGTTTATTGAGAACAAACGGATTTGAACTCTCTCTCTCTCTCTCTCTCTCTCTCTCTCTCTCTCTGTGCAAAGCTCACCCTGAACACGACCAGCTCCATCGCCAGTTTCACTATGAATCCTGTCGACATGTCCAGGAAAACGTCCAGCACTATATTTGAAACTGTAGGGATTCGGTGGTCCCTCTGTTGTGGTTGTGGTTACTTCATCATCAACGAGTCTCGGTAACTGCAGAATTTGGGACACATCCCCTCGGCAGAGACTGGCCAAGCTGATAAAAGCCTAAATAAATAAGCGTATTCGGTTATCAATGATATTTTTTTAAGAGAGAATTCGGAAATTAAAAGATTTTTACAGTTTATAAATTGGAATTTATTAAATCACACGAGAATAATAATATTGAGCTCGATGCATTAGTATTGAAGATGAAGATAATATGAACGATATTTTGCAATTACAAACTAAACTTCTTTCGTTTACTTTAGCAAATTTACATTTTTTTACAACTTACAAAATTTTTATTTTAAAAAATAATCACGTTATGAATAATAATAAATATTCAACCGCTTAATAAGTTTGGATTTTGTCTTAAGTAATAAGTTTCTGTAAAAAATGTCTTTTACATATCGTATTCGTAATTTAATATCTAGTATTACTACATCTTGAGAAAATTTAAAAGTTACGTTTGTCCTTTAGAATTCAATGTTGACTCACTGTTCAATATTTTGTACTCTCATTTGATATATCAGTGCTATAGAAAAAATTATCACATCGTGAGTAAATCATTAAAAATTTATAGTTAATATATTTTATTAATTATAAAAATCATTTATAAATTATAAATTTTCTGGGACCATTAATTATTACGTGTATTATTTTAAATTAGTATAACAATGTATTAAACGTTCTAACACATTCAAATTAATATATATATATATATATATATATATGCATATGAACTTGTATATTTGGTTTGAATATTGTCTTCATAAAATATCAATGGAATGAATTATAAGAATATATAAGATTATATTCCACTACAGTCATTCGTAAATAATATATTATTATTGGCATAAAAGAATTGAATAATTGAAAATATTCTCATTTGCAAGCTACGTGTAGCGACAAATTTAATTGAAACGGTCACCGCATCCTATGCTTTCACTTTCCATACGTTATTTATATCGTCCTTTTTGAACACACACACGCACACAACACACATTAAACAATATAATCAAATACCATAAATTAATAATTCAATAAGATAATTCATTTATCATTGATCAAAACGTTCTATAACAATACACTTACTATTAAAGATTTCATTCTGGCATTCACGATCCACGACTTGGTAATTAAAAAGGAAAAAGGAATGTTCGTCTTGTTGTGTGATACCTCGTTCTCCGATGTGCTACTAAAACGAAATGCTCGAAGATATTCTTCTGGCTTCCAAGCAGTGAAAGTGATGGAAGGAACTTTAACGAAATACACTATGTGAAAAACTGTTCTAATAGATCGAGAGAGGAGGGGGATTTCATAAAAAATTTAATTATACTTAACGAGATAAAAAAAAATTAAGAGCATATTTGTGTTTCGTTAATTAATGTATAAATTATATGAAGAATATATTTTCTAATGTAGAATCATATGTAATACAATAAATAGATATAAGAATTATATTATAATTATGACAAAACAAAATTATAGTAATTAAATAAATAATTAATAAATTTAAATCCAAATTCCTTATTAATGTATAATTAATAAATATTTAGTGTCACAGGGGCGTGCAATTAATTTAATATTTATTATTTAATCCTCATACATATTTATATATTTATTAAAAAGTATTAAAAAATTAATTTAGAAAAAATAGTAATTTATTTAACTTGAACGATTAGCATTATCCAGAATCTTATAGTATAAGCTCAAATAAACAATTAATATTGTAATAGAATGTCAATAGCTGATATGGTTCGATTAAATAATAAAAATAACATTTTATTTCTCTTATTTATTTACTTAATCATAACTTTAACTATGTTTTATACAGTCTATAAGGTCCGCTAAATTGATGATAACAAAAAACAAAAAAAATAAATAAAAAAAAATAATACCAAATACTATGTAAATATCTATTTACTTAAAAACTAATTAAAAAATTGAAATTAATCGCATTATTTTATAATTAAATTTTATAATCATTTGTAATAATGTATTATTTAGCTTTCATAATAGCTACTTTATAGACATTAATATTTTTATAATTTATCATTTTACGGTATTAGTTTAATAACAACATATAAACATAATTATTAATACATCCTTAATTTATAATATATAATAGAAATTTTATCATTAATCGTAATATAGGAAAATCATCGATTATTTTTAAAAATGTAATATTGATAATTTGGCCTTACTTATTAATATTGAATTTGAAATGTGATTATTATTACTTCACCGAAACTATCGCTGAATATTTAAACAATACAATAGAATACTATAAATTTTGGTAATTATTTAACTTTTAATTATTGCAGATTCTTTTTCGTTTTAACATTCTGTATTTCTAATAATCGATCTACGCTTTTTTCTAATTATTCCCCGAAAAAGTATGACATTCATCGGAAGCATGTAAAATTATTTTACAAAAATTTTTTTATTTCTTGAGTAATGAAACTATTAACTTTTTTAATGTGTTGTGTGAGTTGTCATATTAGTTTTAAGATATAAGTATAAGATATAAGGAAATAATGAAAACAATATATCTGTACTTTACCGATGTTATTGATTGTGGAAAGAGTATTCATTAATAATATAATCACTACAGTAAACAGGTTTTTCTGAATATTTAATTTGATTTTCAAGGACCATGAATAAATTGTTTACTATTTGATCATTGCTCTATCTATTCGATATTTTATTTTTGTACTTAAAATTTTATGATTCATAATTATTAGTTCCCGATTATAACGCATCAAATCAATAATTCTTTGAGATGTAAATTATTTTCTATCAATGATATTTAATATTACATTTATTGCCTTAAAAATATGATAATATTTTTTTAGAATTAATGTAAATAAATAATCAATATTGCCGCACGCGGTAAATGAGCTGTAATGAATGTGTAATACAATATATTTTTAGAGTCTTGTATAGAGGAGTAATATTTTTAAATGATATTTAATTGAAAACATTATGATGTTTTTAATTCTGATGAATAGTACGGAATAACAAATAATTATGCTTATTTCTCATAATTTCGTAAAATGTTATGGACAATTTGCCTGCAAATTCTTTTAAAATTTCTCATTTCCAAATGTATTAAATAATACTCATAGATTTTTGGAAAAGTAGATAACTAATAATTAAATTAATCATATAATTTCACATTGATAAATCAATAATAAATATAATGCCTTACATATAAAGATGGATATCGTATAAACAATCGATTGAATTTGAAATGTGCGCAGTCTATTATAATTATCCTAATCATCAATCGTTAAAATTCAAGTACTATTAATTTAACTATTAATTAGCAACAATTTATTGAAATACATTAGATTTTATAAGTTCTCAATATATATTAAATAATTTAAGTATATTAATCTTTATTACTAGGTATCAATAACAGCTGGTATTTAACAGAGGACAATTTAAACGGAGTCTCGATTAGAAAGTAAATTAAAACATCGAGGTCATCCCTATCAGCAATGAAAAAGTTAACTTGGCATTATTTTAAATATTTACTATTTACTGAAAATATTAAGTCTTTAAGAATTAATCTTTAATGGCTAATCTAATATCGTACTGTAAAAGTGATTTTTTCTTACTACGAAATCGTCCGTTTTATTTGCATTAATTATTTTACAATTTTTATTGATATATTTAAAGCTTTATATAGTGCGAATTAATAATTATTTATATTTTTAATACCATTTCATTATTCAATTAAAATAAATCTTGATTTTCTCGACTATTCAATTTTTATTTTTTTTTTTTTTTTTTTTTTTTTTTTTTTTTTTTTTGACAACTTTATAATTCGTAATTTTTCATTCATTAGCATTAATGATTTACAACTTAAAGTAAATGGTATAAACGGTAATCAATATTTTTATATTCAAATTTTGCTATTAGGTTCATTAGTTGTATAATTGTTCTAAAATATTTTTAAAAAATTAATAATTCTATTAGAATTATTAATAATTTAACGTACAAATTATGTCTAACTAGAATTGCGTGATTTTCATAAAAAAAAGTATTAAGCTCACGTGCCGTATAGATACAATTATATGTTGTTACAGAAAATAATGTTATGATGACTATTATTATCAAATTCTTGAACCTCATTTGATAAATTATATTCATTTTATTTAATGTTAAATTAATTATAATATTTCACCCTAAAAAGATCAGATCTTCATAATACAATTTACATAAGCTTAATTTGCTTTCAGCATTTCTACATAATATTCGACTACTCGATATTTCTTAAATAATACAAAAGATATCACGATATAAAAATGTTTATTAATGATCATTACATATTTTCGTAGAGTTCAATATAATTTTCAAAATTATAAGGAATTATAGAACATATTTTATTATTAATTTAAATATTGATCATAGTACGTGTAACATTTGACAAGATTAAATAATTTATTACATTTAGCGATTAAAGATAATATTGTGTTCAAAAAGATGCCATTGATAGAAAATTTTACAGAAACTAAAAATGTACAAATACAAAATTTTTAAAATAATACGCATGCGCAAAATTTGTCGATTCATTTGACTTTTTGCATATAGACAATTGTTAATTCATTTTTATTGAAATTTAAGTAATAAATCATGAAATATAATTATTGTACAACAGCATAACATATGTGAATGTTTTTATATATACATGTGTATATATATATATATATATATATATATATATATATGCGGATATAATTTTACTGTCTATATAACCTAATTTTCGAGCAAAAATTATTTTTATACATTATCAAAACAAAAGATGTAATGATTAAAGTTTTCTGCTTAATTAATTATTAAATGTGCGTCTTTCTAATTGTTGCTTAAAATCGACTACATGCTTGAATATTTATTTCAAATAATTTGAATAATTTCAGTTCTGAAATTGCAAAGAAGATGTAGCAGAAGTAGCAATTGTTAAGGAATAATAAACACAAAAATAAAAACTCTTTATATTGAAGTGAAACAGTAAATAAAAAACGTAATAAAAATTACTTACCAAATGAAATGGGTGATAAACGTCATGGCTTGTCGGTAATGAATTAATTTGATATTAATCCTTATATAAATTCTAAATTATTAACAAACATTTGGTGATGTTAATTCACTATATTTCTTTATGTCTAAAAATATTGTTGTATGAAATTATTATATTAAAGTATATTATTTATTATTTTTTATATTAATTATTTATCATGTAATTCATATTATAACTTTAGAAAGAAGAAATTGCAAAGCAATTTATGCTACCAGAGAGGAAAAGTAAAATAGCAACTCTTTTAAAGCAAGATGGACAAGCATATTGTATTTGCAGAAGCTCGGATAGTTCTCGATTTATGATGTTAGTAATTTTTGTATAAAAATTTAAGTAATTTTTATTTTTCTTTCTATAATATTCTTTCTTGTATAATTTTTTAGTGGATGCGATGCTTGTGAAGAATGGTATCACGGAGACTGTATAAATATCACGGAAAAAGAGGCCAAATACATTAAACAATTCTTTTGTGTTGTAAGTTACTTCTGTATTAAGTTTTAAAATTTATAAAGGAATTTGAACTTTTTCATTAATATGCTTCAAATTTAATGTACTTTTATAGAGATGTAGGGAAGAAGATCCTACTTTAATAACTAGATATAAGCCAAAAAAGACAGAACGTGTGGAAAAACCAGATCAAGATGATCGTAAACATAAAAAGAATAAAGAAAAAGAACGAGTTTTAAGATATGAATATGATGCACCTTGGGATCCGACAGTTACTAAGAAATCATCAAAGCGATGCGGAGAATGCTCTGGCTGTTTACGAAATGAAAATTGTGGGAAATGCGATGCCTGCAGGTAAAATATTCTTTACACATTTTTTCAAGCGCAACAATTATATAAATTAGATGAAATTAGAATGCAAGTAAATGTAAATCATTGAATTAAATTGTACTTTCATATTTGTAAACTTATTTAAATAATTTCGTTTGATTTCTCCATTTTTTTGCAATTAGATAAAATCATTTAATTATTTTGATTGATGTTTAAAATTAAAAATATGTTATTTAACCCATTATATAAATTATAGACATCTGAAAAAATTTGGTCCATCAATTCGTTTAAAACTTCGTTGTGATCAAAGAACTTGTAGAGTTCTTGGAGATCCGTTGAAACCATCTAAAAGTATTAATCGTAACACAAAACTGAATAGAAAAAGAAGACGAGATTCAAGCAACGAAAGAATAGATTGTCTTGAACCACCCAGGCATTGCTACGGCCCATCATGTACAAAGCAATCTCGACCCGGTAGCAAATATTGCTCCGAAGATTGTGGCATAAAATTAGCCACAAATAGAATTTTTCAGGTACTTCCACAAAGGCTTCAAGAGTGGTCTTTTACGCCTTGTATAGCTGAACAAAATAATAGGTTGGCCTTAGAAAACGTTAGAAAACAGCAACATGAAGTAAGGAGAATTCTCCAAGAATTGGATAAAAGGCATGCAGAGCTAGATAAAATTGTGGAACGTGCGAGACATGCAATTATAGATCCCAAAACTGAAATTGATGATAACGATGACACGGAAATGAGTATGTACTGTATAACCTGTGGTCATGAAATCAATTCAAGAACGTCTATTAAGCACATGGAAAAATGTTTTAATAAGGTAAGTACAGTTATAACTCAAACATAAGAACTGAAAATTTTATGTATGAGAAGCTACAAAATGTCACCCAAATAAAGTATGTAGAATGTCTATAGAATATTTAGTAATTTTTCAATTGACCAATCATTTCATTGAATGAAAATTTAAATTAATACTGTAAATTAAATATGGCTATTTTATAAGTGATAAGTGATTTTGAAGTTTGGAGATATTTTTGAGAGACTTGATTGGTAACACAAATTATTATGTGCATATTAAATAAAACTTTATATTTAATAAAAATAAACTTGAAATTATAGATTTGCTTATGATTAATAAATACATTATAATATGCAAACTCTATTGTATTATTTAAAAATTTAGTAACACAAAATGCTTCATCTGAAAAAAAAGAGTCCAATTTCCAATTATGAAAGTTAATACTTTTTAGGTAAAATAAATTATGATCAAAAATATTTATAGACTCAAATTTTAAATATATAAATAGAGGCAAAGCAATTAATGATTAGAAATAGAAAAAATAATATACTTATAGTTAATCGTCATATTTTTTGTTAAAGTATGAATCCCAAGCATCCTTTGGATCTATTTTTAAAACTCGAATTGAAGGACAAGTTATGTTCTGTGATTTTTATAATCCAATAAATCACACTTATTGTAAAAGGCTGCGAGTACTATGTCCCGAGCACTGCAAAGATCCAAAAATAAGTGACACGGAAGTTTGTGGTTGCCCTTTAGTCACAAATGTTTTTGACGCAACTGGAGAATTTTGCAGAGCTCCCAAAAAGAATTGTGTAAGGCATTATGTATGGGAAAAGTTACGAAGAGCTGAAATTGATATGGCAATGGTTAAAAATTGACGAGCTTGTTGAACAAGAAAGACAAATTCGATCGAACATGGCATCCAGAGCTGGTGTACTTGCTTTACTGCTTCATTCTACATATAATCATGAAATAATGGAGCAAATTACGCAAGAACAAAATAGAGAACAGATGAAAGCAATGGAAGAAGAAATGCAAAGAAGATATGGAATGCATTTACAAATTGAATCAAACAATGATCAATGACAATTTACATGAGCTTATTTGTAAATGGATAAAAAAAAAAGGTTTAATAAACAAATGAATATGTTACTAGTATAAATAAGTTTATTAAATAACTGGATTTAGTTTACAATAGATATATAAATTTTCTATAAAAATACAGTGGTTGAACATGCATTTCAAATACATTTTATTTTAATGAATCCTAATCTTGTAAAGAATTAAAAAGAAAATAATATTTTACCTTTAATAAGTAATTTGTTTGAATCTTTAACAAGATATAGGAATATTATTTATATGATTATAAGTTAATTATAAAAATTATAAATTAGACAACTTTTTCTTGCTTTCAACTTTCAAAAAGGATATTTTTTTATTTAGAATTATCGATTAATAAGTACACATAAGAATCCTTATGTTTTGAAACAGTTTTTAATTTAAGTAAAACTGAATATTATATTTAATTTGAAAATCTATAAATTCTATTACTAAATTTATAGCTTCCAATACTTATCACTAATATATTCTGATTTTAATTATCTTACAATCTATTACAACTTTTATAGAAAAATATATTCTTGCTAATATGTTGTATCTAGCTGGTAATATAAAAATATGTTTAAGATAATAAAAACAAAAAGAAACGGCGGGCATAAACTATAAAATTTGGTTAAAATAGAAAAACGAATAATTAAAAATATAAAATATTAGCTTGCACATTTTATCACTTTGTATTTGTACTACTAACAAAATTAAATTAATTTTTTATTTCTTCTTATTTGGAGAAGTTTTAAAAGGACTTTGCCTTTTACCTCTTATGTACTCGCCAACTGGTGAAACTATTTCTTTTTGCCAAGAATATAATCCACGTTTCTTAGATGGTGTAGTTGGTGTTTTATTTAAAGGCTTTGGACTTAGTTTGTGTACATCTTGAGGTAGATTTTTTAAAGGCTCCGGTGATAATTTACTCATATTATACTTCTTTGTTGGTGTAGTTGGTATTTTATTTATAGATTTTGCGCTTAACTTGCGAAGATCTTGGGATAGATTTTTCAACTTTTCTACGGATAATTTACTGTGATTTGTATTTGTCACTAGTTTTACTGGTGAGGATTTAAATGAAGATTTAGTTTCTATAAAAATAAAGTAAAGCGAATAAAATTTTTTTTTATTAGAAATTTTGTTAAATTTTAATATAATATTGTAAAGTCAGCGAATGAAGTAAATTATGTAAAATTAAATAACGTTAGTGCTTAATAGTTATATTTTTCTAAAATTAAAACTTACTTTCAACTTTTTCATTTGAAATTTTAATCATTGGAGTAATCATATTAGATCTTGAATTTCTTCCGCTATTTTCTTTGTTTGAATGTTTTTGATTTAAATTTGGGCATGTACATATAATATTTTGCCTTCTAATCATTTCAATTTCTTTTGCTAAACACTTTAAAAATCTGTCATACAAAATATGAGGTAAATGTTTAACTTCTCTCAAAAGACTATCACAAGACTGACTTCTATATCTGGAATATTTTTTTTGGAATAAACTTTTATCATTTGGATCAAATCCAATATCAGACATGTATGTATTATCAAGAGTTTTAAAACTTGTCGAGTATTCATCATCTCCCGTATAATTTTCAGCAATGAAATTCAATTCCGAAAATGAATGACTTCTCCTCGGAAGCAATTTATCCGATGTCTTACAAGCTTTTTCCCATAATACAAACGATTCTGTTGTATTATGATTATTGCAAATCTCATTAATATCTCCTTTATTCTGTACATAGGATTTATCTTTAATAACTTTCATATTAGAGCACGTTTCTTTCTTTCTTTCTTTTAGTTTATTAAGTTTTCCATATTTTTTATTATTATCATTTGTAAATAAAACTCTCTTCGTACAATATTTATTAGCGTTATCAATATTATCCGAAGTTTTGCAATGCGTAGGTATTTCTACGTCCCTATCTTTCACATTATCTTTCAGATTTATGTGAGACTTATTCATTTTACATGAATTAGTTGCACGTGCTACTTCCGATTCTTCTATAATAGTTATAAGTCGATCGTTTTCATTATGTGGTTTTATTGGAAATAATAATGAATCATTAGATTCATGTATTTCAATAGTATCATTTAATTTATTTGTATTTAAATAATTACTATAAAATGAATTGTTTGACTTGGTCTTTGATAATTTTGATGCTGATTCAAATTGTAAGTATTTAGTGCTATCATTGTCGTTTGAATCAATTGGACATACATCGGTACAATCCATAAAAACATCGCTGTTATCCATAAAAACATCTAAATTTTGATCTAAAACATTTACTGAAAAATTACTATCAATACTTATGTGATTATTTGGTACATTCAAAACTACTGATTCTTCTAATGTCGTTTCTTTTTGATAACACGATTGTATTTGGCCTGCTAATATTACAGACTGCAATGAATCATTTAAGTTTTCTTTCTTTAAGCTCACATTTTCAATAGGATTATCAGAGCAAGAAGTATAATCTGATGAACCAGTGGAAGGGCAATTTTTACCTTTAATTACAGAGCCTAGAAACATTTTAACTTTAATTATATATAACTATCATATTATTATATCATCTGCTCTTATAATAGTTTATACGAATTTTGTAATTTGAATATATAAACAAAATTATTGTCTACGGGGTTTTGTTCTTTTTAAATGATTTTATGAAATATTTCATTGATAAATGACAGAATTCAAACAAATTTAATTAGCATTTTGTTTCCATATTAAAGACATATTTTATAAACGTACTATAAAAAATTTTTAATTTTATTTTGCATTTCTTTACTTCTAATTTTAAAGACGATATGAGAATTTGTAATTTTTATTTCTAGAATATGAAAAAAATACATTTCATAATTATTTAAATGATACACAATTGTATATATTTTTTCTAATTTTATTTAGAGAATTGCTTAATGTTTATATAATAAAGAAAAGATTCATAGTAAAACAAACGAATATACTATATTCTAATTTTATGATTTACTTACGTTTTGTATCCAAATTTTGTTTTTCACGATTCATAGTACTTAATAATACATATAACAAAACTGACTAAAACGCAATTTCCATTACATTTAACTATTGCAGTTGCATTTCAATCATTTTGCTTTGGGATTTGTAAACGATATATATACACATATATACATAGATGTGTATGCATATATATATATATATATATATATATTAATATAAGCATTAATATATGCACTTGAAATCATTTAACACTGTAAAATATAAAGGGCTGTTAAAAGCACAAAAACATCTTATAACCACCGAATAATATTACAGATTATTATGCCCTATGCCTAAGACTTGTGTTTAAATCAATTAATTAAAAATGCTGGTCTCTCGATTAAGTTCCATGATTTAAGAAATAGTAACATTAGATTCACGGCATAATATATAAAATTACACCTTCTCTGTTCAAAAATGCGTTAAAGAAAGAAAGAGGATAAAAACAAAACATAGCTAACGTTTAAATCAAAACGGTCATTTTCGAACTTTTATCGTGTGGGGATAGGAGATATATATAGTGCCAACTGTGTAAAAGAAAATTATTTTCATTACCCAATAATATATTTATATGGAAAATATTAAATGCACGATCTTTCTTAAGAATTTTTGCTTAAATTTATTTAAGCTATTAATGAAAAAAAATTTTGATTCGTAAAAGCATAATGTACAATTTTACATAAGCACATGCGTGCGTATTTGCATGCACAAGTGCATAAATGCAAACATACGACTTTTGAGTCCGCATGTAAAAGAAATTAAATTCAACATTTCAGCAAAAATAAATAATTACTCATGAATGCCGTGTTGGATAAAATTTATAACAATTATTCGTATTAGCGAAATTAAAATAGTAAATTGCATAGCTTAATTATTAATGTATTTAAATCAATAATACAGTAAGTAATATAAATGATATTTTGACAATAGTTTATTATTTAAATTACGCAATAAGATTGTCCATTGAAAATTAATTTACATAAATTGGAAAAATACAATTATATAAAGTTTATAAATCTACAATTGGTTTAATTTATATTTATGACTATCTATTCTTTCACATTGCACATTTGATATCAAGTGAATTTTACAATTGCTTAATTAAAATAACGATATATGTACATTTATACATAAATTTTAAATATTCAATTAAACTATTTTATTTAGTACATCTATATTATAATAAATGAATTATTAATAAATGACAGAAGTTAAACAGATTAAAAATTTTAAATTAGATTCGATGTTCATTTTATACCATTAATAAGTTGAACGATTGCAATTAATGCTTTCTTACTGTATTAAGAAAAATCCATAGAAGTGTATATAAAATATTTTATAATTTCAGTATATAAAAATAGAAGTGCTTCTATTTAATTTTTTTGATAAAAAAATTTTTTTAACTTAGAAAACTTCTCCTATAATAGATAAGCGTTGAAGAAACGGCTGCGATTGACAGCTTAATAATTGAAAATCTTCTTTTGCTGTAACGTTGGATGGATACAAATTATCATTCCTTATTTTTTCTAACATAACTTGTGGATCAAAGTACATCTTCCTTTTTGAGGTAGCTTCGATATATTTTGTAGTTTCATTTTTCTTCAATCTGCCATCGTTAGAAGATTGAAATTCTTCTCTTGTCCCGGACGATGTTACAAGTGTTTCCACATTTTCACTATCGTCTGCTTTATAAATTGCACTTGGAGGAGCTATTACTTGAACTTTACCATTATTTAAGTCTACTGATCCATTTGTTTCAAGAATAGTTTCTTGATTTTTTATAGAATTTTCATCGGAATAATTTATTAACTTTTGATCATTGATAATATCACTTATTTCACTTTTTTTAATATCGGACAGCTTTGCGATCTTAATAGTTTTATTGTTTTCTTCTCTCAAGTCAATATCGTCTTCAAAAAGTTTTATGTTAGTTGTATGTTCGCTTCTTCTATCGTTTACAGCAAAAAATTTATGTATTTTTGATGTCTTTTGCGCAAATAAATAATGTGGATGTTGACAACAGTATAATGCCCCAGGATCAATTGGATGAGCTTCTGTATTAAATATGTAACCCCCAGCATCTACAATGCACTGGCCCCATGGGGTTTGAATAACATCTCCATGTTCCCCTATAAAATAAGCATACATTAATATATTTTAATAGTATAATAGTAGTATAGTAGCTAAAAATTTATCGTATATCCTTTTATGGAAAATAAATGTTTAAATTCCTTAAAACATGTTTTTGAGAAATAGTACATCTTAATGCAATAAATATTTATTTACAAAAATGATGTATTTATGTATTTATACCTGTATTATGAATGAAATTATCTGGATCAAAAAGCAAATAAAGATATTTTGTTGTTTCTGCGAGAAAAAAAGATTCCATTCTATCGGCTTTGCGATGATCTCTAACATCGTTAATTGTAGCGTAACCACAAGTGGTCTTTGCACTATGTTGCAAACTTCTTAAGACATCGATTCCCACTTGAATTAAATATGGATCGCTAGTGGCCCTATAAAGATACATAACAGATTCTATCAATTCTGGTCTTAACGGATACCCTTCTCTGTTGGTTCCAGCTTCACCTTGAGGAATATTATAAAATTCTGGAGTAAAACCAAACTGTTTCCAAACTTTGTGATAATTATGGATCGATTTCATGGCATCGCCAACTTCGCCAAAGAGACTTAAAACGCCTGGCCAATAGGCATCGAGCGATTGAAAGACTGGGAGAGTAACTTGACCTTTTGTCATAGAAACCCAAAGGTGCCAGTCCTCTTTTCTAATATACTTTTCAATGGCTGCTTTATGTTCATGAAAAATAGCGGCTAAAGAGGGATCCTGAAATAATAAAGTTCCTTTCGCTAAGTATTCAAAGTAAGAATCAACACCAGCCCCTATTCCAGAATCTTGAGCTGTCCAATGGCCTGTTAAAACATCTACATGATTTCCAACTAAGCCAATATTGGATTTATAATAATGGAGAGCTTTCATTGCATTCATGGCAACTTCCTCGTACAAAGGATCGCCGGTTAATCTTGACAAGGTGCCAAATTCCAAAATAAACGTACCAATCCCAGCCGTACAGGTAATACTTGTTTCACCCTGAGGAACTCCATATTTTAAATTCACAGTTCCATATGGCATTCCAGTCGGAGTATCGAACGCAATGATCAATCTTTTAGCCATATCTTCGGCAAGACGAAGTAACGGGCCATTACATGGCCAACCAGGCTCTAACTGCATACCAGCTTTCCTTGAAAGCAAATGTGCACTTAATAAACCACCGACCACTCTAATATTTGTTTCAAAAACGGACACATTAATATTAGCTTCAAAGTCTGTCCTCGATGCAATAATTTCCGCTACCCTGCGAAATTCTGTAAAATTTCCCATTACAGCTAATGTGTCTAAAGCATCGATAAGGGTCAATGAGAAACTGCCCCATGTATCAAAGCCGTCGCAACTCAACGAACGGAGTTCATCATAGGGATAAGCGTACTTTAAGTAACTCGAATAAGCATGATCAAACATTGCATGAGTTTCCTCGCGTAGCTTAAGTAAGTCTTTTTTTTCGTACCTTTGGGGCACGCCACAAATTAAAAATGCACATCTTAACACAATAAAAAATACAAATATAATCAACATTCTGTAACATATATATTATATTTGTTAAATTGCAATATTATACTATAATAAAATATTAAAATTACACTGATAAATTGAATGTTTTATACTTTACTTTTTACAAATAAGCAAATGAATTATAGGATTTTTCTCTTAAATTCCATTTGAATTTGAACATCTGAAATAAAAATAAAATAAATAAATCGTAACGTAGTAAAATTAACTTTACTAACAATTTAATATACCATGTGATATTTAATAAGCTTATTATTCAATAGATCAATAACAAATAAAGGAAAATTTTTTAAATTTAGAAAATTTTATGATTATTTTCATTGATCGTTAAGGCTAATATTATTTCATTATTTCAGACATAAAAACATAAAAAAAAAAAACTGCGACTCTCCCCTCTCTACCAAAATGCGACACCAACATATTTTTTATATTAGTAATAAAAATCTTAGATGAGTATTTGTTACATTTCGATGGCTTTAGGCGTCTTTTGTCGTAGTTAACACCTGGTCTTGCAATATAAAAAAAATTAGAAAATTGGAATCACCAATACTCAACTTCATTTAAACGTAAATAAATGTCTTTGATTAATATTAATTACTTGTAAACTTTTTTATAAAAATAATCTACGTTCTCTACCTGGTTTCCATTTATGTCTTCGATACAAATTCAAGTACTCAATATGGATTTGTTCTATCGATACACAAACCGGTATTTTTTTTTTTTTTTTACTAAATCTCGAGATAATACACATGTAAATAAAGCAAAATGCTTACTTCATTTCTATTATATTTACATAATACTCGCTCGAATTATTAGGTATAAAAACAAAAAAAACAAAAGAAAAACAAAAGAAACTTACTCGAATTATATATTTCTTTATTTCTTTATTTCATTGATAGGAATGATTTTCGTCGCATATATATTATCACAATCTCTTCCGTCAATATTACATCATTCCTATATTTTATTTAATTAATATAACGTCTACAACAATTTTTTTCCACCCAACAACAAAATCAAATATATAAATATATATTGTAAATGCTAGCGTGTAACCGCTAAACGAATTAAAAATAATATATATATATATATATATATATATAAAGTATTTTATAATATAAAAATTGACATTGAAAAGCCAGTAACATATATATATATATATATATATATATATATATATATATATATATATATATATATTATAAGAATTGGTGCTTTAAATGCCAAAGTCTTATTGATTTTCTTAAACCGTAGCCTTGCATGCCTTGCAAGTATCTTACTTACTACATCACGTAAATTACAAATCTCCTCATTCCGAATCCATATGCTATGCCTATGTGTGCGTATATGAGCGCGTGTATAATGCGTGGACGCGTGGATGCGCGTATGCATAAAGTTAGCGATGTGGTATTTGACTGCTGAATTAAGGTATTAAATCCTATGTTGGTCGATCGATTGCGCAGACGTGGCAAATGTCCTAAAATCCTTTCTCCAGAGAATTTACGCTCTGAAAAGAGTAAAGAATCTACAAGTATTGAATCGTTTAATATCGAACTGACGGCAGCTACGTCAGTCCGTAGTATACCGCTGGGTAAATCATTGACAGGCCGATGAAATAAATTTATAATATTTGTATATTTGCATATGCAAGTAAGATTTTACATTGTTGCTAAATTCTTAGTAAAAATGGTATTGTAGGTTAACGAATTAGCCTTGACCGTAGGGATGGGGGGATTTTCAAAATTCAAATGTTCGAGTATGTCCGGTGATGAGCAAATAAAAATAAACTAAATTTTTGGAATGCCAAAAGCATCTCGTAAGATGAACAGTTTCTTATTGACCACAATTAATCAGACTAGCAACAATTTGCCGCAATCCCTGCAGTATAAACAGCTAGAGGAGCAAAGAATTTTGAAGTTTTCGCGCTGAAGAAAACCGTAAAATGACATTCAACAATCTTGTTTATTGGTAAGATGTCAATGAACCATTCGTTTTACATAAATTTTTCTACTTTCATTTCTTCCACTTTTATCTCTTGTAATTTTGGACCTAATGTTTTTTTATATAAAATAAAAATAAACTTACAATGATAAATTCGTTGCATTTAATTCATTTGCAATCATTATTAAGTTGAGTTGTATTAAACAATATTATATTAATGTGATCAAATTATATAAACGAGAAACTGTATTTTCAATAATTTTAATATTCTTCAATTTAAAGTTTTCACCCATTCGAACAAATTCTTTTAAAATTTCAAATATTTCTTGATAATTTTTGGCTCTGTATTAAATGAAATATATTAAACATATAATATATATATATATATATATATATATATGTGTGTGTGTGTGTGTGTGTGTGTGTAAATTGGATTTTTTAATACAAAATTTTAAATACAAAATATATGTATATGTATCCTATCCACGCTCATCTAACGTTCTTTTAGGTATCAAAAAAAAATTGGCACGTACGATAAGCAGCAATGGGAAAAAACAATAGAACAAAAAATATTTTATGGTTTCACTCATGTTCCCATGAGAACGGCAAAACTCAAAACAGAATTTATCGATGTTGATCTTGTTAGAGGTAATTTATATTATCCATTGACACATTAATTATACATTTTAAATTAATAATTTATTCAAGCTTAGAATATTTAATTGTGTTATTTAACAGGCTCGTCTTTTCCAAAAGCTAAACCAAAGCACAGACTTGGTACGATTATTTATCTTGCCATTCAGAGGTTACTATTTTTACCATTTAATGCGCATTGGTGGATTCAACAAACAAGTCCCCGCATTTACATATTCTTTTTACTTCTTTATGGACTTCAAATATTGAATATTTATATATATTTTAATCATTTCCTTAAAGAAATTGAATCCGAGGTAAGAATTTAAAAATTATAATAACAACAATTTGCAGCTACAACAAATCAGCTATATACCAAAGTAAATAAACAATAAAGTTAAAAATACAATGTGCTATTAAAAATAATACAAATAATATCTTAATAATACAAACATTGATGAATAAGTAATGGGTTTTTCCTAGATTGTTTCAATGTCAGAAGTGTTAATACCTGGAGTTATGATGCTAACGTTATGCATGGTGCATTCACAAATTGTTTCTACAAACTGTGCTCCGCTAATATCCAAAAAATATGAAAGACAACGAATTCGTCATTCTAGACATGGTCGATCACGTGCTAATAAAACGAGAACAAGAAGAAATATTTGTACGTAAATACTAAAATATTTTATTAGACTATTATTACTTGATTATTGCTTGAACTCAGTGAATTTAAAAGAATTAGCTATATTAACAAAGTTCAGATAAAATAAATCATTTAGAATAAAACTAATTACGATATTCAAAATTTTATAAATTGTAGTCGACAATAAAGAGTCTAAAGCTGCTCAAAATTCAACATTAGAGAAAACAAATGTGCTAGAAACTGAAGTATCTCCTTCGGTTAGATTTGCTAAAAAAATAATTATCGAAACATCTCCGATAGCCAGTACATCGGATCAAATATTAGAATTTAATACATCGCTAAGTGATAGTAGACAAAATTCAATAACGAGTCTTCAACATTTTATTGAAGCTGAAAAATTGGAAGAAATAGAAGAACTAGGTATTTATTAATAATTATATTTAATATAATTATTTAAATGTATATTATTTGTCATAAATTGTAATTACTTATAGTTTCCGTAGTTAATTTGGAAAGCAATCAGGAGAATGATGACGTCGTTCATCATCAAGATGATGATGGCTTTGAGAGTTTAAATGGTAATGTTTCAAGTGATAACGATCGCGATCAAATGAAAATAGAAAATAAAGAGAAAGAAGTGACTGAGAACGAAGCAACGGCACAAGAACATTCTCATTGTGATCTGACTGGTTTGTACAACTTAAAAAGAATATAACATAATATATCTTATTAAAAAAGAAATTTTTCATAAATATTAATATGGATAATATCATCAAAATAATTTAATTTAAAAGAAAAATAGAAAACTGTTAATATAATGTAATCTTTGTTAAAAAGGCAAAATGACATAATCATCGTTTTCTGCTTTGCATGCAGCACCTGAAGTATCGGTAAAACGCGAAGAATTTCACGATAGCGAAGAAGATGAATGTGATAGCCCAGTAAGTTACTGTTAAAAATACTCAATGATTCAAAATTATTTAGAATAAATTGGAATTAAAATATGTCACGATCTTATACTTCCATTCAATTTGTGAACTGAAAGTATCACATAATTTCTCCAATAATTATTATATATAAACCAAATTATAGGACAGCAATCGTCTTTCAATTCAAAGTTCAAGGGATGATAGAAAAGAGAGTGCAAGCGAAGAGGAAGGAGAATGCGAAGAAACAATTACAAACCATTTGATCGAGGCAACGACTTCAGCTACAGAATGGATGGGAGTTACGACAAACAGTGACGAATGTAGTTATAGGTATGTAAGTATATCTTTGTAAAATTTTTCGATAAAATTAAATAATAAATCCCATTATTGGCTCTAGTTCTGAAATTGAAGAATCAGATCGTCATAGTGAAGCTGATGCAAATGGAGAGTATATAGAACATCCGTTTTCATGGGAATTCGAATTACCTTCTTCAACTATTTTAAATTCAAATTATACTTCATCTGATCGAGGTTAGTATTACTCTATTCTATGCAGCCTTTAAAGTAATATTTAATCTTACAACTCATTAATATTTAATTATTAGTTTATTCCTTATTGATTTCTATCTGACTATCTATCTGAACATTAGATATAATTTAGTTTTTTCTTACTTACCAATTCTCATTGATAAAAAATATTATTAATTGAAAAAAAGTAGCTACTGAAATAATAATATAAAGCATATGACTTATATTTATTATAGTATCGTGCACAATATGGACCCATCGAGATGTAAAGAAAGCTGAACTTTCAGTGTTCGATATTAGTTCAGCAATAATTGCAAGAGTAGAGTCAATGCCTGAAAGTATGGATTATTTTTATAGTGGATTTATTCTTGCTATTGTGTTATCTTTGGTGCCTTGTCTGAGACGTTTGAGTGATCATTTTGGAGTGGATTTTGTTAATAATAGTTCCTCAATAAATACTGAATTATCGTTAGTTACTTCAGAAACATTCTCGGATTTGATTTGCAAAATACTTAACATTGCATTTGGATCATCGTTATTGTATGTTTATGGATATTGTATTGTTATTCGTAATATCGGTAGCAAATTAAATTTTCTCAATTTTTTTCACATGTACAGGGATCGAACAATGATTTTATCATCGGCACTTGAACGACTTGTTTTAGCATGTTTATTATTTTTTCTATTGGTAGTAGCTGAAAGAACATATAAACAGCGATTGCTCTATGCAAAATTTTTTTCACACTTAACATCATCTAGACGAGCAAGAAAATCTGATTTACCACATTTCCGATTAAATAAAGTTAGGAATATAAAAACGTGGCTCAGTATTAGATCATATTTAAAGGTAATAATAGTGATTCATTCTTTATAATTAAATTTTATGAAGAATTTCATTAATGTTTTATTAAGTATTTTTATCGTGTAAAATTACGTATAAAAATTATTTAAAACTTTTTGAAAACATATGATTTTTAAATGTAAAATATTATAAATATATTGGTATTATTTTTTTTTTTTTATACAATTTTAGAGAAGAGGCCCACAAAGATCTGTCGATGTTATTGTATCTTCAGTATTTATGATTACCTTAGCTTTATTATCATTTGTTTCATTAGAATTAATAAAAGTAAGTTTGAATGTTAATTATCAATTTGATAACATATATTCTAATATTTTTTAATACAATATATTTATTAGGACCTTGATAGTTTACACTGTCATTATAACATTGAGGCTTTATTTTGGAGCTTCGCACTCGGTATATTTATTTTAAGATTTATGACACTCGGCACAAAAATTAATAAAAAATATAGAAACATTTCCATTTTGATTACCGAACAGGTACACTTATTTATTTATGTATTTCGGATCCTTTCATAATATTCAAATTAATAATATTTAATTTTTTTGCAGATAAATCTTTATTTACAAATTGAACAAAAACCTCATAAAAAAGACGAACTCATGGTTGCTAATAGTGTTCTAAAATTAGCAGCTGATTTAATTAAAGTAATATTAAAGGTTTATTATGCATTTTATTTTAAAAACAGGCTTTCTCATATCATATACTATTCTATTTGCAGGAGCTTGAAAGTCCATTTAAAATTTCTGGTTTATCAGCAAATCCATATTTGTATACAATTACAAAAGTTGTATTGTTATCTGCTTTATCTGGAGTTCTTTCAGAATTACTTGGCTTTAAATTGAAACTTCATAAAATCAAAATTAAGTGAACAATTTTCATTGTTATTAACAATGGTATTTAATATTTTAAAAGTTTGGAATTAAAAGAAAGAAAACGCATATTTACTTATAAATTAAATTGTTCAAGGTAATATTCATTTTCAGCACCATAAATATACATTTTAAAACACAAAAGATTAATATTCTATATATCACACACGACACTTTATCATCTACAAATTAAAATACTGAACTAGAGTTCATAATATTTTGATCTTAATAAAAAATAAAAGTTAATAAATAATAAAAACTAAATAAATTTCGTGTAGCTTAAACTTTTATATAAAATCGTAATACCATATAGTTATATTAATATCATTAAGTATTTACTTGTGATAGCTGTGTAATATAATTTATATCGAAATACTGAATTACTATTTTTACATAAATAGTGTACATATCTTTTTTTTTTTTTTTTTTTTTTTTTTTTTTTTTTTTTTTTTATATAAAACATTAATTATTAATATATTTTTAAAATATTAATTTATAAATATCAATTTTATCATAACAAAGGCTTATCATTCTATCACAACAATGAAAAATTAACCAAAACAATATAAAAAAAGTATTTATACAGACATATATAACTTACTCGTAAAGGGATATAATATTTTCAAAAATTTGTGTACTTTAATTAAGATACATTTATTTTAATAATTAGTTAACGTAATATTATCTAAGTTACCATACCTTTAAATATTTGTATTTTTTTTTTCAATATTTTGAAAAAAAAAAATTTTCTATATTATATTTCGCTCTTTATTATAATTTCAAATCTATTGGAAGAGCTGATATAGTCTAAAAAGAAAAAAGTTAATATAATAAATTAATGAAATGAATTATTATAAAATAATTATGTTACAGACATTAAAAGAAAACAAAAATAATAATAATTAGCTGTTAAAGTATAAACGAAAATAATAGGGTTTAACGGAAATAACTTTAACAATAATTTATAATTTAGTATAGAAATTCTAATGACTTGATTGACTGGAATTATTATAAAATATAAAAATATTGAAAAATACTAGTAAAACAACAATATTGAAACCTATATTAATTTATCAGTCTTAATTAATGGAAAAAAAAAAAAAAAAAAAAAAAAAAAAAAAAAAACCAGTTATTCTTCATTATTTAGCTATGTCAAATTACAATATTTTTCATAACAATATTTGAAACATAATTATTGTTTAAAAAATTTTTGTTTTATATTATATTCTATATTGTATATTATATGTTCTATTCCATGTTATAAATCAATGGATTAACATAATTTTACACTTTATTTTGATTTTATATGATATTTTATTGATATATAATAGATAATATATACGTATAAGCTAGTCAAGTTTTCAAATTATATATTTTAATGCATTAAAATTATTTATAGTGCTATCGTCGACATAATGTATTTGAACTAATATACTGAAATCTGTATGATAATCTATTTAAAATATTGTTTAAATTAAGCTTTAACCTTAATTATTAATTACAATAATAAATACTTGTAATATTTTTAATAGTTAATTTTATATATTAAAATTGTTAAATATCGTATTTTTCTTTTTTATAAAATACAATTGTGTTTCGATGATTATATTTAATAAATAATTAAATTATCAATTTATAAGAAAAACATTAGTTGTTATGAAAAATAATATATCTTCTCTGTATAAATGTATATATTGTAAAGATATCGATATATTTACTATTCTTTATAAAAATATTTATATTTGTATTATCTGTAAATGAAACTCTTTTGCTCTCTTAATTTCTGTAGTAAAAGAAAAATAAATGCAATAAATTTCTTTGATATTTTATTTTTTGCGTCTTATTTGTCATGACATTTTTAATATTATTTAAAACATAATTATATTATATAATCATTTATTAAAAGTACATTATTACGGAGGTGTAAATTGTCATTTGTGTGCAATTGCGATACATTTTTTGACTGAATATATCGAGAAATTTATTATTCTCTAGTAAGCTTTTAACGGAAAAGCGAACTTTTCGTACTTGTGTAATTTTTAATCTAAAATAAATCGAAAACGAAAAGGCGAAAATGTGCGAAGGGATTCGTACGGGCGCGCATCTGTATATTTAATTGCAAAAGCGCGTTTAGACGCGAATCTAACTACAATTATTACGTAAATTATTGACTTATTATCGACTTGCTACCCGCTGTATGAGGAGTATTCGATTATTTTCAGCATCACCAAGACCAATGACATTTAGAGCCATTTAGTTGTAAAGAAAAATTATTCTCTCCAGCAAATCGTAGCTTAAGCTTGCGTGACCGGAGCAGGAGCGCCTAGAGAAAGGCAAAGGCACACGAGTAGACTTATCACGAAATAAACTGGTGAAATGTGTGTAAATGCACTTTGTGTTATAATGATCATAGTGAACATAAGGCAATTAGTGTTACAATGTTGCCATTTCGAAGAAAGTTGAAAAAGTTAGTTAAAAGTATCATTATATTGAACATTATTATTGACATGATAAAAATATAATTGTTATGGTGCATCTAAAATAGTAGTATTATAATAATAGTTTTTTTTTTGTTTTTTTTGTTTTTCAATTGTTCGCCTACAAAATGAATTACTTCTTTATACGATTAGAATGAAAATTAATGTAAAATGTTAAATGTAAAAGAGATGAGTAATATGATGAAAAATTTAACAATGTCGTTTCTATCATAGCTATGATAATGAGTACGCAAATTTTTTTTTTTTTTTTTGTTTACCAAGTTATGAAAATTATTAATGTTTGAATGCTTATGTGCATACTGTTTATGAGATATTAAAAAGAAAAAAGAAAAAAAATTATGAAATTTAAAAGTATTTGGTATAATAAAAATAATATCATTTAAATAATACTTCTTTTATTTCTATTATTGTACGTTAAAAATTGTTTGTAAATGACTTAAAAGTTTATATTTGAAATGACAAGAATTATAGAAATTTTCAAGTTTCACTTAATTAGTTCTAACTTGAAATTTTTAATTCTAATTACTGATTAGTCATCGTCACGCGTGTCAGTCACGAATGTATTATAAAAAAAAAGTAATAATTTTAATTCGCATAATTATGGTATAATTTATATGGTAGTTTCGTAATATTAAAGCATTAATGACTAAAATAAATAAACTCTCTAGACAATATTTTGATATATTTAGATTTTTATCTATTTGTCTCTTAATAATTGATTGATTAAGTTTGTTTATGAAATTGATAAAATATTTAAAATTTATCAACAATTTTTTTAATTGCTCAAAATAAAACAGTAGGCAATCCTTTAATAACTTTTATGAAAGTACTATCATATGCTATCGTTTACATCTAATTTTTTCACATTAACATTAGTATTAATAACAATACTCATAATCATAATAATGTGATTTTAAAAAATAATCTATATTTGAAAAAACACACCAGAGAAATTGAAATAGGAAGAGAGTTTAGTCGAAAGCTACCCTCGACAAAACTCTTCTCGGGAAAATACTTGCGCCATAATTATCAAATATTCGGTACGCGATATTCCCGAAGACTGGTTGGGAAATATTTCGTAATATCGATGAACAAAAGTAGTGACAAAAGATATCCTGCATCGTAATAGGTGAAGGAGATACTTTGCCGTTGGGCATGCACGGAGGGTGGAAAATTGAGACTGCGCGACAATCTTATTGGTAGCTAAATATAAAGCGATACAGATATGATAATAAAGATCAAGGTCAGTTGGGAATTATAAAGGACTGGGAGAAAGGTGAATTTCAAGTGACAGTAGGGCTGGGATAATCAATTTTTGCTTGGAATAATAATAATAATTAAGATGAAAGAAATTATCGATATCAATTCGTTCACATATCTGACAATCTTGAATTTCTATCAAGGTAAAAAAACTCTTTAATACTGCAGTATCAATATGAAGTAAAAACAAAAGCTCCAAGTTCAGAAGGTTTGCCAGCTAAATTTCTGAATATATATCATTCATGATTGAAGATGGAGAAATTTTTAGCCATCGAGGTTCATATTTTGAGCAGTTGGCTTTAAATTTTAATAGATATTAATTACATGATGATGTAATTAATAATAATAATAAGTCGATGATCTACATAGGAATAAGTAAATGGATAGCACATACGGTGATCATTATTATCGTAAGAGATGCGAGTATTTTTTTAAATTTGACCATAGTATTGATAGTTGAAAAGATTAAAAAATAATACCGTCCAGTGCTACCTACCGCGAAAACTTTTCTGTCCATATATTTTTTATCTGGAACGTGATGTAATGTGATATCGAAGAGAGAGAGAGAGAGACAGAAAGAAAGAGAGAGAGAGAGAGAGAGAGAGAGAGAGTACACTTTTAAATTTGATTTCATAATGCTTATGCTAGAAAGATTTTAAAATGGGGTGAAGGTAGTTGTATAAATAGAGTTGTATAAACGACCCTTAATCCAAAATATAAGACAGCGACAACTAAGTCACAATCGTTCAAAAATATAACTTATGGTAGCTTTAGTTAAATTAAGAGCTTTTATTCTGAAGGCGAATTCACTGGTATGAAAAAGCTAATGTCTCACGACTATCTCGAAATACTTCAAATATTAGCATAATTTCCATATTAGCCTGAGCGGGGGAAAATTTCTCAACTCGGAGAATATATTTCACTTTTGTTTTTACAATGTCGAATATATTCTCATAGCAATATAATATCCGTGAATAACTAATACATTCACCAGCAAAGAGTATATATTTCAAAATTATGAAATTTATTCAATGCACATAAAATAACAAATAATTTTAATTCATATTAAGTTCAGCCTATTAAAAATACAATATTTATCGTATATTATGTACGGCATATATTAACTAATCGCCATTCTTATTATTAAATAAATGCTATTAATAATATAGTTATTAAAATAGTAGTGTAAGCGATAGTGTAAAAAAATTCACAAATTCAAAAATTCTCAATAAGAGTTATAGGAATTAAATTACACGAGTTTATTAAAACTGATAAAAGTTGTTATTTTTATTAATGTTGTTCAGATTAATATTATTGACTTTTAAGAAATAAAATATAAGTGAAGATCCATGTTTTCAAAGCAACTTTTTTCTTAAACATTGTAAAAAATCAGTGTAAAAAGATGTTTGAGATAATCATTAATTTTTAAATTCAACTAAATATGTATTTGTAATAAACATGAAAAAAATTAAGTGGTCATGTATATTTGTGTATGCTTACTTATAAACATACACGCACAAACGCGCGCACACAGGCAGACACGTACACACACGCGCACGCAAATATATCTATTAAATAATTTGTACGGCGGCGTGTGAACGATTATGCATATATTTACTGCCCTTATTAAAATTTTTTTTAAATCAATTATAACGCCATCAATTATATAATTATAAAATAAATCATTTTTCGTAATTTAATAAAAGCTTATAAAAATTTAAATGTCAAATTAACAAATCTTTATTATTATTTGTTTCTAAAGTGGAACAGATTATTGTTTATCGTCTATAATTTGAAATCACAATATCGCGTAAGACAAGTAAAAGTAATCGTGTAATAATAGTTTTATAGTAGATTATACAGTTACAGAGATATCATTGATTATATTTAATTCATATAAAAGTAGCTGAAATGTAATTGAGACACTTTCTTAAGCACTATTTTCTTGCAATAAACACTTGTATTTCTACAAATAAATCATAAGTGTAGATTATGATGAAATAATTTATATTTACTTGAACAATGAGCTATGTTCGCGAATTTTACCAAATGAAAAATATTTAATATGATTGTATAACAACGTAAATGTTGTTACTGCTACTCCTGATTTTTATTCGTCATTTATTCATTTTTAGTTTCATTCTTATTTGGAAATTTTTATAGTTTTTTATTATATTTTTGAAATATAAAGATATATCGAAAAATGGCAAATTGCTTTTATGAAAAGTAGCTCGAGGTATGTGAATTACATTACATTAGTGAAGGTAAACAATGTATTACATATATTCATTACAGGACCCTCTCAATAGAGTATTAAAAAATTATTTTGTATTATATAATCATAGAATATGAATTTCCACAAGAATAATATGATTTATTAATCAACAATTGGTATTAATTTATAATGAACAATATAATCACATTGTACGGTAATTATATCAATATAATGTAAAAAATTGATATAATGTGTTTGAACTTGTTCGAATTTATATTTCACACATGATTTATGAATAAAATCTTGTAATAAAAATTCCAATTTCAATTTTTGTTTTCCAATTTATTATTATTATATTGTATTAATTAATAATAATTCGAGGCGAATCCAATAGTTTTAAATAGTCAATTTTTATAATTACGATAATGCTGTAAAATTAGAACTTGATAAATCTACGTATTCGGTTGATTTACTAAGAAATTATAAATCGTAATTGATGTAAGAACGTATTGGAATGAAATTTAGTTAGGACGATAGTTTATAATTAAGAATTATGAAAATAAAAATTAAATATTGTAGAAAATATACGCTACAGAAGTTCAACAATGTTGTTTCACGAAATCGTCGATTAATCCATACACAAAACAGTTTCTGAATTATGAATTATGAAAAATTTGTCGAAAAGAGGATAAAAAAAAAAAAAAAAAAAATTTCTTATTAATGAATACAATTGTGATGAAAAAAAAAAATAATACAATTAACATATACTATGAAAATAAAACAAAAACAAATTTTAAATAAAATTTTCTATATAAAATTCTCCAGAGGTGACGCAACATTAGATACGCTCAATGCGAATTAATAAGATCTTACCAAAGTAGAATAATTCATATATGAATAAAGATAAATAGCAGATGTGCATGTGACTAGGAACGCTTATTCGCCGATTTTAATACGAAGATTCGTCGATTCATTGATTGCCAAGGCTGAAAAATCCTCATGAATGTGCAAAATCCTTATGAATGAAAAATTAAATTTGTTCATAGCATCGCTAATAAGTGCAAAGTAAAACGTTTGGAGTCGCATCAACGACGAGGGTAAGAAGGAACAGGAATCGGTCAGTCGTATCATAGACAGAATAGCAATGTAATCGTAATGAAATTTTAATTGCAATTGCTAAGCCAATGCTTCATCAATGCCAATCACAATATTAAAGATAAATGCGTCTCTCGTCGCTTTCCATCCTTTGCTACAACCGCTGCGATAATAACGAGCGCAAACGACTGAATTGTTATTATGTGCCATGTGCCGAGGACTAAAATTTTATAAATTACGCGCAATCCTTGTCGATGATTCTTGTGGCCCGTGAATCTCCGCTGCTCCGCGTATGATTCATCTTCCCCCGCGTAATACGATCCACGTACTTTCCTCGCACTTGCAATGTTAAGTATATCGGATATAGCCAGTGAACCGAACGATTCGCTAATTACTTAGCATTGTCCTCTCCCCTCAAGTCCCTTTTCTAATTTCTAATAAAGCGTGTGTGTTGGCGAGTGGGTGGGTTGCCTACCACTTGGCGCTCTTGTCGCTCCGTTAACTTTTACAGCAGCATTGCTACATGATTCTATGCTCCGACTTCCTCTCTCTCTCTCTCTCTCTCTCTCTCTCTCTCTCTCTCTCGATCTCCCCCTCCACCGCGTCCACTGCCGCCACCGCCGCCGCCGCCGCCGCCGCCGCCGCCGATCACCATCACCGCCACCACCACCACCACCGCTGCTCCTCCAGCTCCAGGCGCAAGCAATCCTTCTCTCGAGTAGCTACGGCATCTCTCCATCTCGGTCCGATGCGTGCGCAGCTATACGACACCACGCATTCTCTCCTGAATGCCTGTTTGTCTCTCTCCCCGGTAAGTTAGTCAGTCGTAGAGCTGCTCGGGCTTGAGGCGCATCGCAGGGCAACCGAGTAAATGCGCTGATATCCTTACATCCCTCGACAATGGCATCCAGCGGTCATGACTATTACGATGGCTTTCGTACCTTCAGTTGGGTGTCCGATCTCATCGGCCTGCCCATTGACCAAGTGAGTTTGCTTGCGTTTGTATTAGGTCCGGTTGGTGTCGGCGTACGTCGCGGCATGTTTCCTAGCGTTTACGGCTACGCTTCGCTACTTAGGTTACTTACTTTACGCTCTTTTTCTGTCCTTCCCATGTATATGAATCTATCGTGACATCACGTCTGCCGTATAGCTGTATTAGCTCTAGCATCTCTTCTACTTGCGACGAAATATCTTTGCCATTTTTATTCAAAGTTTATAACGCGAGTTCGAAATTAGGGAGTCTCGGCTACTTTAGTACGTAAGACCATATTGCCTTTCCCGTATACGTACGTATCGCGAACGTTCTAATATGTCATCAGTGCGGATATTGTATTTGCATCTTTTTCTCTTTTTTTTCTTTTTTTCTTTTTTCTTTTTTTATTTTTTATTACGAATAGATATTTTGGCATTGTATCTATCGCCTATTGTGCTTTGTCGATCGTCTGATCGTAAGGATAAAAGTTATTGCTTATTCGCTTATTCGCAAATAGGATACGTTGGAAAATGATAAGCGAATGCACGCTTTATGTCTAAGAATCGATTGTTTTCCAAATGTATTCGTATTTTTTTTTGCGATAATAAATTGACAAATTGCAGCGTTATTATTGAACATTGCGTAATGATGTTGCGTTGATTCGAGTGTCTCGATGAAAATGGACATGAAGTTCGAACGATGCACTTTTTTTATTTATTTATTTATTTTATTTTATTTTATTTTATTATTATTATTTTTTTTTTTTTTTAACTATGCATTAGATGATGCGAGAGAATTTCATTGCCCAATTAATAGTAGTTGGATATGCTTGGACCGATAGCGAAAATATAATAAATTCTCGGCGTAATCGTTGACGACTACGATTGGCGGTACTACGATTTCCACGTATTTTTCCAATAGGAGCAGAGCCAATTTATTCGTTCGATCATCGCGAATTATAAATATTCCGATCATATGCAATTTGCAAGCATCGAATTGCCTAATGGTTAAACGATTATAAATACAATACGTTAAAAAAACTTCTCAATTTAGCCAATGAAGCGCCTATGATACTTAGGCACCATCATATATCGGTATTCGTTATAAATTGACAACTTGCACGCTAGACAATCGTGGCGCTTTCTTCGACTTTTTCGTTCTATTAATTTTCTCGAGCTATTTTCTTTACGCTTGCTAGCTGCCTCGAGGAATCCCATTCGCAACAATAGCGATACTCACGATAAACAATACCCGGATTGTTCCATTACCGTATTCGGATAGAGAAGATCCACCCAAAGCGGATAGAAAATAGAAAAAGGAAAAACAATCATTGGAACTGTTGGCGCGCACTTGTTGAATCTCCTACTCTATCCTATCTACGGCTTACGACTAACTGCGGTAATGACGTTTATGGCCGTTCCCTCTCTGTCTTCTCGGTAGCTTTCGAGATGCACGACTAAGCGTACGTCTGATTACAGTGGTACGCGCTAAAATACTGGCTAGGCGTAGCATTGGAATCACCGAAGAATTATTCACTATTATTGTTCGACAGCGATCATTGAGACGCTTAAAATCCGGATTATGAATGCCTGCGTTTACGAGTGCGCGCCCGCGCTTTTCATCCTTTCATTTCTACTAAACAAACATTTTAACATCATTATTATGACGTTCGATAATTAGGCAATTAATATTGTCCTGAATATACTTTGCACCTAATCTAACCTAAAGTAAATCCTGTTCGATTTCGTGATATTAATTTGCAAATTTAAATGCATGCCACAATATTTGTATCTAAGTATAGCCACGCATAATATTATAAAAATATCTTCTTTGTTCTACATATTTCTTAGGCCACCTACTCGTATTAAATATATAATCCAATACTAAGGCCTATAATAGTATTTATAAAATTTAATTTTTCGAATTCATCCATCTGTGCGTGAGATTTTAAAGGAAAATTTAAGCATTTATGTTGGAGTAATTTTATATAAAACAATAAAGTAAAACAAAACAAAAACAAAACAAAAAAGAAAAAACAAAAAAACAAAAAGAAAAAGAAAAAAGTCGCGAATACAATTATTAACAACAATTGAAAGTAATTTAATATATCTATTAAAATATAATCTAATGCTGCAAATTTGATTATTCTCTGCTCTTAAGAGAATACAATTGCTATAAAAATTTTACGATTACGTATTTTTATGTCAAATATATAATGAATGAGCTGTACCATTTGCACAATAGTTACGTTAATGGAAAGAGGAATTTCAATATTCTTTCTTGTAAAACTAATTACCCGGACATAGATGAATCTCAAGCTTTTCCTGCGAAATAAAATTAAAAATAAATCTTCGCGTATCTGCTCGAATAAAGCTCGAATGCACATCACAATAAACATGAACGCTGTGATTGACACGAAATCCACTCTTCATAAAGACAGACCTTTTGTACAAATGTGCTAGAACCTTTTTCTATTGCTCTTGGAATGCTTGCTAAGTATTCAACTGTTGCACTGATGATCGCGAGATTTTATTTTCAGAGGCCTATTTTTGACGTCGCGCTTGCGAACTTCTACAAGGACAAATATTTGCGAAAGCTTATGAACTAATAGTCTAGTAACGTTGCACTACTGAAATTTTGCTATAACTATTATACGTTTTAATATAAATGACATTTTAGATCAGTTTTTTGTTTTTTTTTTTGTTTTTTTTTTTTGTTTTTTTTTTGTTTTGATTTTTTGTTTTTGTTTTTTTGTTTGTTTTTTTCTTGTTTGTTTGTTTTTTGTTTGCTTTTCATCATATCTACAGCCTCCCCTTTCTTTTTATCCAGGACTACGAAAAATGTTAACTTACCTAGTTACAATAAGCTGCAATACCTTTACTCTAACAAATCCAATTCTGAATAAAAACAAAAAAATGTAACAAAATGTTCATGTATTATATTATTTTTATTAAATTACTACAATAATCAATAATTTCAGATAAATTAAAATATATATAAATTTGTTTTTTTTTTTTTTTTTTTTTCATTAGATTTACAGTAATTTTGTATAATTAGAAAATTCTTCATATGCCGTAAAGAAAAAAAAAATGCACAATTTAAAGTTGATTTTTATTTTAAAATCTATTATAAAATCTATTCGATTCAATAACTCATTGTAAATAGCAATACTTTATACTTCGCTACGTCACATTATATTTGACTACTTTTTAATATTCATTATTAAATGTTAGTAAAAAGGATTAATAGGTAACATTGTGAGCCCATTCACGATCCAATAATACTAATTTCTTCTATTTTTCATGATAGGCTAAATTTTACAGATACTTACTTGAAAATTGTCGAGTATATATTTTTCATTAAATGTTTGAGGTTACTTAGCTTGAAAATGGTTTTTTGCCGGCATATATTATCATTATAACACTTCATATAAGTTTATGTCACCTTATCATACATAGGTGACTGTAATTTAATAATGGAAGGTGGTTGCAACGTCGATTTGAAGAAATTAAAAAACGAGTTTTTAGAATTTGGAAACTACGTTATGGCAAAATTGATCAAACATATTGCAAATATTTGTAAAAATGCAGGGACTCTTGTTAAATTTACTCATGCTTTACATAAACTTTAAATTCTAAAACATCTCTTTCATGATAGAATTGTCAAATTTCTTATAAACTCGACTTTCGATGCATTATTTTTAAACGCATTTTCTCAAAATTAATTTACAATAACTCTGCATAAAAATTATAATATTAAAAATATTGCTAATATGACGAAGAAAAAAAAAAGAGAGGAATTATTTATGTTAACACATTTTTGCTGATGTTGGCATTTTTATTGAAGAAAAAATCAATTGAAAAATAAGCCGCCACGAACAATTTTAACAAACTGTAAATATTCATAGGAGGGCAAACATAATGAGTAAAATGCCAAATCCCTTGAATTCTTAGAATACATAAAATTATTTATTATTTGAAATAATAAACAATTTTCTTATACTCTCATTGAATCATTAAATATTGGATTAAATCCTGTTATTTCAATTATCTTCATTTTTTTCCGATTTAACTAGCCGTGCATTTATTCAATTACTTTCGAATAATCAGAACGCTCTTATTACCACAAATTGTGGCATTGAAATAAACTTGATTTAACAATTTCGTAATTATTATGAAATTTGTCATGAAGTCATCGATTAAAAAAATACTTATATTTATAAATTGCTAGTAGTAGAAACTATTCTTACTTCAATGCAGTAATTTTAGTTCCAATTGATTTCGTTCCCTTGTCTACATATTTACATCTCCAGATTTCGAAAATTTTATGTTTTTATTGTTATTACATGTTATGAAATATGATGAATCTATTTTATCATTGAAATAAAGACCATTTTATTTCGAAACTTAGGTAAATAATTAATCATATTAACATAGATGTTAGGATGCAATTTATTTATGCAATACTAATAAATATTTTATTTACAAATCAATTGTAATTTAGTTTATTGTGTAATGTATTTGTCGTTAATTCGCACGTTTATACATTGTAACAATTTATAAAATGTAATCGCGTCCTTGTTCAACTTCTTTATTAAATACGAAGTGTGTTAATTCAATTTCTGTATTTAATGAATGAAGTCGGCCATGAATGAATGGAACCAGCAATAATCTCTTTATGGATTTCAATACAATTTTTGAAAGATGTAGCGAACACATGTAAAAGTTATGTAGTTTATTATAAATCTGAATCTGTTGGGACAATAATTTCACAAAATTGACATTTAAGTTGTAAGCAAACAAATACTTTTTATTCTTAAATTAATATTTTTACTGTAATTCGCATAATTGAACATTGTTCCAAGTCTCTTGTTTTTCTATTATATCATATCACTATGATTTTTTCACAAAAAGGAAAATATACATTTTATATCATTCAAAATTAATTTGAATAATTGAACAATTCTGTCTCAGTATTATACGAGTAATGTTATTTTATATATTTTATAATACTTATAAAATATTTATGTTATAAATTCAATATTTCTTGTTATATTAACAAATTAATAAAATTCTTTCGAATCAACTGTATAATCTGTTATTAACGCTAAACACTATTACCATACAATATAAGCATGTCAGATTAATTAATTTTGAATCCACTGATAGCGATTTGACAGCAAATCCATATAGTCGTATATACTTTGAAAGTATAATATTTCAACATTGATTAGCATTAAAATATAACACAAAAAATGAAATAAATATTAAGAATATTGTTAATTGTATTATTATTTATAGTAATAATCGCTTAATATGTATGATACTAATTTTTAACTGATAATTAATAAGATAAAGATTAAGTTAATTATTAATCGTAACAAAATTAAAATGAATAGAATTCTTAATTAAAATTTGGCGATACACATAACTGAAAATATCAATGATATTATTGTACCAAAATAGTTAATTATTTCTGAAAATTGTTGAATGAAGCATTATTATTGATATTAGCCAATAATGAAAATTTCTCTTAATTAAATCTGTGATTGAGAGAAAGAGAGAGAGAGAGAGAGAGAGACAGACAGACAGACACACAGAAGAAAATGGTCGATTTTCTTGCATCTATTATATAAATTATAAAAATAAAGCATTTGTTATAAGAAGATTGAAATACAAAGTTGCATAGTATATAAAACTATACAAGGAAGTTATAAAAACTTTAATTATACATAATGTAATTTAAAAATTTAGAGTATTAACATTTACAAACTATTATATTTAGATAATTGAAATTTTGAAGAGAAAATTCAATATGCAAACATAGTATTAATACGTGAAATAAATGACATATTAATAATGGGAAATAATACACTATAATTTATAATAAACAAAATAAAACAAAAGATACTGATACAGTAGATTTTTGTATATTTAAAGTAATCAACATTGAGTATTATATACAATTCATATTCTCTTCAATTGTATAGTGTGCGTGGTTATTCTCACAATCGTTAATTAATTCTTGATTAAAATGATCAAGAACGTATAACTAGCAATTGTAAAAGATTTTCAATAAAATACTTCTCTAATTTTGAATTCTTTCACGTCCAAATGGAAGTAGAGCAAAGATCAAATAAACAGTCATCGAGAATTAGAATTATTTTAACTCTAATTATCTTTCCGTATATGTTTGATGACTAATATGTACTAACTAAAGTTGTGTAATTATTAATTTCATACTGCAAACTTTTTGTTCAATTAATAAGGCTTAATTTCATTTTCAATTATTATTAAAAAAAATATCATATTTCTGATATTTATTCAATATTTTTTTTTACAAAAATTGCAAAACATTCACTTAAATATTTATGAAACGAATGACATTTTAAACCTTTTCTAATAATTCATTGTTTCAAAGGATTTTTTAAAATAGACTCGATAAAATTGCTTTCAAATTCATGGCGTATATAACGTAAAAATTTTTTGTTATCTCTAATACATGCACGTAGTGTATTTATAATTGATTTATAAGTTTTAAATGATATTGCTTATATATTACGAATCATGTATAAAATAGTAATATAGTAAATTTTATTTTATTGCTTTTTTTTCTTCTAAAATACTTGCCATCTATTTATATAAAAAAAAAAAAATTTATTTTAAAAACTTCTTTACGATAATACGTTGAAAAACAATTTCTCCAAACATCGAACCCAACAATTAATAATAAATACTGATAGCATTATAAACAAAATAATATAATTATTAACTTTCTCTTTCCCGTGGCTCCTTATATCGTACTTTTTATTTAATTTATTCTCTGTTCATTTTATATTAAATAATTAACATATGGATGAGCGTGAAAAAGTAACACTATAAATGTTTTATTATCTAGAAATATCTATGAGCGTTTTTTTTTTTTTTTTTTTTTTTATATATATATATTTTATATATATTTCTTGATATATATGAAAATAAAAGTAAATATCCAAAATAAATTTAAATAAAATTTTCTAAGTAAAATTATGTTTATCGCTTATATTTGATTTGCAACAAAGTTAAAGTAAATTAGTACAGTGAAATGTGAAAGGTAAAGAAATTATGTGACTGGTACATTAACGTTCATGAAGTATTTTAATTTGTTAATGATTTATTTCAGTTTTTTTATTCATTTATTCAGTTTATTTATTAAATTTTATTATAATATCCCAAATTTTCTGTAATTAATCAAAATTTTTACTTTTAAATTACTATTGTTAACTATTTTATAATTAACATGTCAACATGCAAATATTTCATGCAGAATTTGCAATGACTCATACATTGAATTTCTAGTTTTAACATCACAATATAGTATTACTAAATCTTTTACTTCATTACTAAATCTTCCACGAAAGTCTATTATTTATATTATTTTATTCGTAACAGATGAGTCGATAATACAAAAATGTTTGATACACTAATTGCATTTTAATTAATAAGAATAAAATATATTTTTATAAGATCTAAAAAAAATATGATACATGTCGAGAATATTTCCATCAAATATTTATAATGTTAAAATCAATAAAGAAAAATCTTTTTTTTTGCAAAATAAATATATAATAAATGAAATGTATGCAAAAGCATCAGTAATTAAATGAAAGTTAAATACTATCTTATTTTTTTAAATAAGAATTGTGAAAGAACTTATGAGAACGTATTAATTATTGCTTATTATAATTAAAATGCTTTCAATCAGGATGTTTTCAATTAAGATGAATTGCCAAATGCATGTTTTAATTTCTTAACAATTATTGTTTTTGTATAAAAGAAAAATACACCTCGTATATATTATATAATAAATAAATACCGATATAAAGTTTTAATAATTTTTACATCTTGGTGAAAGTAAATTATAAATGATTTGTCATATGTATTGTAAAAAATTTATAAATATATATATATATATTTGCATGTATATTCCAAGTATAAAATACACCTTTAATGGTATAACTATGAAATTATATTATAAAAAGTAGTCATTATAAAAGTATAATGTATATTAGATTTGTTAAATAGCATTAAAAGAAAATTTTTAAAATATCTTAATATAATATTGTATTCTATTGTATTAACAAATACAATAAAATATCATCATCATTATAATTACAATTTTACATAATAATGACTAATAATAACGCTGAATTATCTGGATTATGAATTCAATGTCTATATTAATATAATTTACTCATTTAACATAATGGCATGACTTGTGTTTTTCATAGGTAAATTTTCTAATAACCCAGTTCACAGCTTTGGGATTGGCTGGATTTTTGAGATTATCGTTAGATCCAACGTCCTCCTCGCCGTCCAGCAGACATTTATTTGGACTTGTAATTGGTCTTATGCTTGGTTACTTCAGTTTTGGCAAGTAAGATTTAGATTTTTTTTTTTATAAGATAATATAATTTGTACTTCTAATTATCAAATAATATATATATATATATATATAATCGAAATAATAATGTTTTTTTTTTACTCAAGTAGAAATATAGGCTAATAATTGTAATTTAACGACAAAATATTTTTTCGGTATTAATTTACAGAAATATTCAGTATGACATTATCACTGTACTAAACGATAAAAAATATATTTATTCGTTTAGATATTTTCGCCAAACTTGTATATTAATGGAGATTTACAAATTATATTATTATTACTGTTGTTATTGTTATTGTTGTTATATAATTGGTGTCTTTGTCTCTCTCTCTCTCTCTCTCTCTCTCTCTCTCACACACACATTCATAATCATCATTATCATCAATATTTACAATTGCAAATATCATATCATTATTGCAATATATTTTACCTCTATTAAAGCCTACCGAATGAGTTTACTATAAGCTCTAGTCGTTAAATTACTAGCGGTATATACTATATCGCAAATTTATGTAGATAAATAAACTGTGCTTTGAATACTAACGTTACACCAATAACGTACTGAAATAGGACCGTTGTAAGAGGAATACTTACATAACTACATACGTTTACGTTCAAACGGTAAAAATTCGAAACGTACAATACAACAAAATTGAAAGAGTCAATTGAAAATTAGACAACGAAATCGGTCACTTCAATTGTATTATTAAATGCTTCGAGAAAAATATGATCGATGCCCATACAAATGTCTAAATAATATTTCAGCTATAGGATTCAACAAAGGACAAAAAGTGATTTAAATTATTAAATTTTAAATTTCATTTTTCACAATGTCAGATTTGAGATAGCATCACTATTTTTAAAAGGATCTTCTTTGCCGTGGTGATACTTATTGCCATTGCATTATTTAAAAATTATGAGAATTGAATTTTTAAACTATAATGGCGTTATTGTAATTTAAGTTTTTATCAAGTGTATACAGATTCAATAATTAAATGTAGTATTTCACGTTGTAACGGTATCGCAAGGAATGAGTCTATAATTTCACTTTGGTTACGGGCATTCAAGGTCTGTTACTTAATGTTCTCAGGATGAATATTTAGCTGCCTCAACGATGTCTAGGTTGGCATGAGGTCGCTGGTGAAGCTGTATACACTACACTACCGCTTGGCACCACATCTTCTGCGTAAAAAGAACGAAAGAAATAGATAAATCCTCGATTAAATTAATAAAGGTCAGCTTCATGTAATTTGAGGGAAAATATTAATAGACAAAAGGCGACCATAAGACACGATGTTAAGGAATAAATCGACTTTTCTCCACCTGTCATTCTCTCGCTCCGACACTTACGCAGCTGATAATGTGTTAAATCTATCAGTGGGTAACACGAAGAATTTCTCAAACTAATCTACATTACTTTTTCCAATTGTTCGATACGCTAGCTTTGCTCCAAGATATTATATATAAATCATTTACTCGCTCTCGTGATTTCATACCAACGTCTACATAAATCTCAATCTCCCTTAAAGTTTATTCTATAAGGAAACCACTATCCTGTTTTAGCACGGTGCCATAACTCTTCTCTAACAACAAGAAGATTACACTGCCCCTCCCCATCCCTGCCTTTATAGGCCACAATCCGCTGTTTCGTAATCCGTAACGGATGCGCGAGTCTTTTACGAAATCTAAAATCTTTGCCACATTTCCGTGTAAGCGATAAGCTCTTAAATCCAGCAACAAATTAATCCATCTTTCAATCTATTTTTTTTTTTTTTTTTTTTTTTTTCATGTAACAATTGAATATTTTATATATTATGGAGATAATATTGAAATTTTTAAAACTAAATTACGTAGATATCGTATTTGGTTAGTAGATAAGTCGTAATATCGTAGATGGTTCAAATGATTATTAGCGTGAAAAAAAAATAATGTAGAATCTTAATTTTATGTCGATTATGGATGATGGATGCAAATTTATAATAATAAATATTATTCTTGTATTCGAATTATAATGTTTCTTTGGTATTATCACTTCAATGGAGGATCGTAATTTTTTTAAATTTCAGTATTGTGCTTCACATACGTTATACTTAACGTATAACCTTGATATTTTTAGTAGGAAAATAGTTGAAGAAAGTTTATGTTTAAGTGAAAAGCATATCTAGTTGGCTTTTAGAACGCACGCACTAAGGTGATACGGGATTCAGTAGAAAATAGAAAATCCATAAAGTATAGACTAGAAGGTACTCGTCTGCTATTGACAATGGAATGTCCTCCATTTTCTCAATTAAACTAGGAAAACTAGATACTAGCGCTATTAAGGATAAAAAAAATTTTAGATAAAAAATGAGAACGATCTCCCATTTTTTTTTTTTTTTTTTTTTTTTTTTACAATTGATTTCCAAGTTATTTAAAGTAACGGAAGAACATCTTAGAAATATGTAATTCTAAGATATTATATGAAGCTTTTTAAATGTCTCGTTAGGTATTTACAACGATATTGAATATTATCGAATTATTAATTAATATTTATATAATTTATATAAAACTGTAAATGTTATGATGGTCATTAAACGCTGTCGCAAAGCTAAATTGTGTATGAGCGCTCGATTAAGATTTATTTCTTAACATCGACCATTTTGAATTATAAATTTTTTCGAATTTAGCCATTTTCATTCGTATTCTTAACAATAATAATCATAATATTAACAATTAATTATTAAATATTGATTTAACATGAAAATTACAATTACATACATATTTAATTGAAATGGTGGACATTTCGTCATTAAAAATTTATACTTGAAATTTAAATAATATATATAAAATGTTTTAAACAATCGCTTGTTCATTGCTTTTATATTATGTTCATAAATTCCACTTAGGGAACATACAAGAATCATACAATACATTATTAACTTATTTTCAATTGCCTATACTTTAATATAATAGATATTCAATTATTTTGGATAATTTATTTTGGATTTTTGATTCAGTGATCGGCATGTTAATAAAATAAAATAAAATAAAATAATGCATATTTTGTCGAAGAACTTTGACTAAAATTAGAATCCGATGTGAAATTATTAGATCTAAAGAGTCAATGTTTTTCGTGGGAAAGTGCGATTTAGCGGCTGTAAATAACGGCATCCGGTTTAATATAAATCACAGTAATAAAAAGTAAAAAAAGAAAATAAAACAAATTGTTTCAATTACCAGTATCCGGTTTAATATAGATCATATTAAAATTAAACATAGATAAAATTAAGAATATGAATGGTGATGAAAATTTATTTTTATGCATTATTTAATTGTATTTAAATATTTCTTTCTCTATCGCAAAATACATGTTTATATATTGACAAGAATCGACATTCTCTTTTTATTAAGGCAGGCGATGCATTTGGCAGGGCTGCCAGCAATATGTTATGCTGCCATGCGAACCTTGGATCCCCATCACATGCAACGGTAAGTTTTTCTAATTTTATTTATTACATTATAATAGCTGTCTAGTCATTAATTCAACTAAGACGTATTTAACGATAGATTTTTTTAGTTCTCTAAGCTATTCATTTCTTTCCATTTGACCCGACCTCGTTCTATTCTTTCTTTTATTATTTTTTCTTTTTTACTCATGCTATATGATTCCGATGATTAAATAATTTCATAAACTCCAAATAATTTAGATTATGCCATCGGATCATGATTATTCATTGGATATATCAAATTTTAAATATTCAACGTTTTCATAATATTTGTATTCCAATCGTCTGCGATTCAAAGGGGGAAAGCTATACACGCCTTCACATATAATCATATAATCATTGCATTATTGTGCCTAATAGAATTGTTTTCACATTATTGATTTTAATTTTAAATTTAAAGAACTGATAACTTGTGTAATTAAAATAAAATGACTTGTCATGTTTGACGACAATCTGGCTATAAATGTAAAGTAAGTGAGAATATGTCGATGAATGCACGAGTGGTTTTTACGTAAAATGCGATGCTGTCGAATATATGCTCGAGATAATCATAAAAAAGTGTAAAAAAAAAAAAAAAAAAAAAAAAAAAAAAGAGATGTTCGGCGCTCTTAACCAGTGAATCCCTGACATTTTGCTCAATGATGCTTAGATAATCTCAATTCCGAAACTTGAAGATGCGTATGAGATGCAAATAAATGATGACTAACATCCAACACGTATCATTCCGAAATAAATTAATTGATTATGATATTAATAAATGAACGCTTATTGTATATGAATGGATTTAGATAAAGTAGTAATTAAAAAAAATAATTTTTGATTAATTTTTTTGTTAATATTTTTTAACTTATTAAATACAAAATTTTATATAGCAATATAATATTTATTAAATTCTTACTCCCTTTATGCAGAAATTCAGTGAAAAAAATTATCAAAATTGTGGATAATTTTCTTTGAAATCTATAATGTTGGGTCGTTATTCATTGAAAATCATTATAATTCAAGCGATTTGTATCTCTTGAATGTATTATTAAATTACAATTAATGCATGCCGTTTTCTATGTATGATATCAGTTCGTGAGCAGTTTCGCTTTTTCAACTTTCCCTAATGCGATATGATTAACTAATAAAACACTGGTACTTTCTATATTTACGCTGAATTTCCATATTTTCTATAATTCTTGTTAATTCCACGTAATAGAAATAAATCGAGTGAATAAATATAATAACTTTATTTATATTAATTGTTGATTTTAATCTTTAGATTGTAACTATAGACACACTGATGTTGCACCACAGTATTTTTTATAGGTTCAACTCCATTCGTATGTTTTGAAGGAAATAAATTATGAATATATGATAAATAAGCGTAACAATATTACACTTTACATATTATTCTATTATACTCTATTAATTCCATACAATTAAATAATTTATTACCATAAATAAAACTAATATAATGAAGAGAATAATTAAATTTGTTAAACAATATTCACTCTCCGTCGAGATTTATCATATGCACAATAAATTATCGATAATAACTGTAAATATATGCGTTGCTACGTAATGTTTATAACAGTTTTCACCAACAGTCATTTGCACTTTTCTTTCATGAATAAAAATTCTAAAAATACATTTCAAATTCAATATGTTTCTAGTAGATTATAGGAACTCAAATATTATGTTTGGTTAAAACAATGTGTATGAGAAAATTTTGTGCGTAGTATTGATTGTTTTCATATTTTATTTGAACAAAATTATATATTTTGTGTGAATAGCGATGTCGACCAAATAAAGCTTAGACATAAATACAGAAGACGTAAAATTTTTATTAACATTAATTCCTCTTTTTAAATTTAAATGGAAAATAACTTATAATTAGTTGTTAATGTAAGCATTTGAATGATTTATTGGAGAAAGTTTGCATGTGTATATTAAAATTACTCAATGCTGAGCTTTCCATTAAATTCATCTGACAATAAATCATAGTTCTAATGTATTAAATAAAAAATTTAAATAGCTAAATCAATAATTAAAATCGGTTTAAAAATGTTAGAAATTAATGTGAATGAAATCTAATATGTATGATATAAATATAATTATATGACAATAGCAAATGCTGTAAGTTAATGTAAATTACGAAACATTGACATTAATTTAACAAATTTGAGAAAAAAACTTAATTAATAATTAATAAATGAAAATAACGAAAGCAATGAAAAATCAAAATAGATTTAGACATTAAAATGTATTAAGTTCTGTTTAATTATATAAAATATGCACGTACGTGGTTCATTGTACAAATAGTACAATGAAGTGTTAAATTTTATCTCGACAAAAATGAAAAACAATAATGAAACATTCATACTCATGCACTTTTTTCTAAATTAAAGATGAAATATTGCTGTTAGACATTTAAGAAATTATATAAGTAATACAATTATCTCAAAAAAGGCTACTGCGTTTTTAGTTCTTTAGCAAACTGAATCGCCTTTTTAAACAATATACAAATAATAAATTCTACTATAAATTTTAACAAAAAAAAACAAAACATATATTCATATGGACTTTATTTTAATTCATAAAAGTAAAATAGTATTCAGCCATGCTAATTAAAAAATGAAAAACAATAAAGAAAAATTACCAATACTCTAATATATATATATATATATATATATATATGTTATAATAAATATGTCATTTATACTTGTAGCTGAATGCAGAATATTAAAATTTATAAAAAAAAATTATACCGATAATATATACAATTTATATAAATAAATAAACTGTATATCAAATGATTGACAATTAATTATATGAGAATATAAATACTATTTATATTAAAAAAATATTTCTATACAATCGTTTTATAAAATTTCTTGTTGCAATTTATAATTAATGTAGTATTATTAGTATTCAGATTATCATTAAACATATAATAATATCATTGAACGATAAAATGTTATTTCATATTTAGTTATTGCCAATTGGAAATAATTATCATTTTCACTTAAATTGAAATATTTTTTTTTTCATTAATACATTATATTTCGCGTGCATGCAAAATATATGCAAAGCTCAGAATATGATCTATTATACCGTACAGCTACTACGAAAAAACTCAATTATTCTAATTGATTCATACACTTGTATATAATATAGTAATAAGAAAAATAATCACAAAGTATGAAGTACTTGTAATTATTCATGCAATTCAAATTATGCCTCATTAATAAATAAAATGTTAATTAGAAAAGAAGTGAAAAGAGTTCTATTGTACAATTTTTATGAATATCTACGTATAATTGACATCAAATCATCAAATTATTAAACTATAATTTATAATTAATTAAAGAAGAAATCGTGTTCATTCTCGTTGCATGTATCATCATTATTATTAGCGGTTTAGTAAAGTCATTATTGATTTGGAATCATTTATAAATGCCAACTGATGAGATTTGGTGTTACGAAAGCATGAATTAAAATAGAGATAAATCAAATAAATCATTCGATCGATCGAAAATCAATCGATAAATGTTTTTATGCAATTATGAAATTTTTTATAAATTTTTTTATATGGGATTTTATTTTGACAAAAATTTTAGAAACTGTTGGTATATATTTTGCATTCGAAAAAATCAGCTCTGAGTACATCTTAATTCTTTAAATTGAGAAATATTGTTAAATTTATTTAACAATAATATAAATGCAAATTATTGGTTAGATAAATATAAGCAGAATGGAAAATAAGTGAGATTTTGTTTATAGAGTCATATCATAAAACGAATTAATTTTTTGTTCAAAAAAAGCAACATGTGCTCTATTTTAATATATTAATATATTTAATATATTAATGAAGTTTTGAAAATTACAAATGATTCTTTGTAAAATATTCCGAAAGAACACAACAGTAGAAATGAAATTCGTTAGAAAAATGTATTTATGCTGTTATTATGATTTTATTATTTATATTTCTTATCTTACATATGTATTTATATTTAAAAAATATTATTTTCTAATATTTTAATATTAAAAAATGATGAGATTAACAAATTACGCAATTAAAAAATACATCATATAGTCTATATTAATTGTAATGCAAAAGTAATCATAGCTTGTTCCTGATAAGTTGCAATATGAAAAATTTATACAAAATAGAAATACGAGACAACTCCGCAATTGTAAGATGAAGCAGTTTTTAAATGTCATTTTACAGAAATAAATTACATATATATTAATTAGAATGCATGGGTTACCTTACGATAATAGCAAATAAAGAAATTATGTAAAGGCTTTTATTAGATGCTTATGAAACATCGAAAAAAAACTTTTGAAATAAATTAAAAAATAACAATGAAAAAGACAATATGAAATGGAATTTAGATAACAATATAATAATAGCTCTGAATTTAATTGAAATAAGAAAAATAAATATTTTTTCATTAATGACTTTCTAACATTTCTTTGTAACATTGAGGAAAAAGTAATGATATATCTTACTCTCATTTCTTACTATTTATGGTTTATGAGATTAAGCGAGTTAATTTCGATTATTTCAAGGATAAAGATATACACGATTTTTCTAAGAATAAAGATTATAAATATGAGATTCATTCTCAAAGAAATAGAATTTCGCTTATAAAACTATTTTATTCTTATTTGCAGAGTAGTTCTTGCTGTAGCGCTAATATACTTATCGTGTATACACTTTCATCGACAAATGTACGACTATGGCTCCTATACTCTTGACATTACTGGTAAATTATTATTGTAATAACAACGTTATGCATAATTAAGTATTAATAATGGCAATTATTTGGTTTTTATTTGTTTTTTTTTTTGTTTTTTTTTTTGTTTGTTTTGTTTAACACTATATGCACGCATAGCTTTGACTTAGGAACATAAATATCTTTATTACTATAATTTATTATATACTATAGAATGTAATGTACAGGAAAATTAATTATTCATATTATTTTTGATATGGTTAATTATACTGAAATACGAATGCACATAATTACTTAAAAAAAAACAAAAAACAGTGTCTATCATTAATTAGTCATCTAAAAATTACACTTCTTTTAAAGCAAACATATTTTTTCCAATTCTAATTAAAAAAAAACTTGTAACAATATATACATTATAAATATATTAAACTAAATTGTAAATAAAACATAAAAAAAAAGTATAAAAGCTGATAAATGTAATAAATGCAATAAGCAAACAATATTGTATGATTGTGTGCGTGCGTGTACACGTGTGTTACATTGTTACTTTTCTTTTGAAATAGTTGAGTTGAAATAAAAAAGTTATTTATGTAACAGGTCCACTGATGGTTATTACTCAGAAAGTAACGAGTCTAGCTTACAGTGTGCATGATGGGCTGACATGTAAGGAGGAAGAACTCACACCAACACAACGTGACCATGCCGTGCAGTACGTTCAAATTTGTACGGGAAAATTAATTGTCAAAATCTATTGCAGAGTATTTTTTCACTAGAAATTTATTTTTATTTTATTCATTATCGTATTTAGCTCTCTTCTCTTAACTTTTTCGCAACTTTTCAATTTTCACTAGCTCGCACGAATGAAACATGCTTTTCTTTAAATTATAATATATAACTTTATGAAAACATACCGTAAGCGGTTTATACATTATTCTTGTGCTTATAATTTACAAACAAACAAACAAACAAAACAAAAAAAAAAAAAAAAAAAAAATTATTAAATCAATTTTTCCAGAAAAATGCCAACTATGCTGGAATACTTCAGTTATATTTTTCACTTTCAAGCTCTCATGGTGGGGCCTATAATTTTTTACCGTGACTACATTGATTTTATTCATGGGCGTGGTCACAAACTATTAACGGTAAAGTATTTTATACATTTTATACATTTTTTTATGCAAACAACAAATTGTTTCAGAGTTTTGTAATGTATTTAGTCTAGATTAAACAAAATGGGCTATAAAAATTAAGCCTCAACAATACCTTCATGAGTTATTATTGAAAATGACTCATTATGATTTTTATCAAATATTATATGGTACTGTATATTAAAAATATAATTTTAATTAAATGATGTAAATGAAAAAAATATACTTAAAGCCATAAACATTAAAAGCTCTTATTTAATCGATAATTGCAAAATTTATTTGTTTAGTATATTAAACATTTTTTTTTTAATAAATTATATAAAATTGAATTATTTTATTGAATTGTGAAAATTAAAATAAATTCTACGATTAGTAAAAGAAAATCTAAATAATATTTAGTATTTTATTAAATAAAATAATTATATTATACCGTTTTAAACGTAAATGCATAATATTTTACTTCCTGCTTATATTTAAATTACAAACTAAGACAAAAATTGTTATTGGTTATTGAAATTCTCTTTTAAAAATAATAATTTAACTGCATAATATATATATATATATATATATATATATATATTTTTTTTTCAATGAAATAGTATCATAGAATTATTATTTAATAAAAAAGGAAAAGCTTCTCGAAAAATAAAATATTATATTGAATTTAATTAATTTTTATTACATCGATCTTTCATTTGTTAATGTTAATTAATGTTAATTAATGTTATTAAAAGCAAAATCAAGAACTAAATTTAAATAGTTATGGTGTACAATTAAAATATTTAATCGATATGATTTGTTTTAAATTGAATGTTTACAAATTTATTACAAATTTACAAAGAAATTAAATATGTTGACAATTTGTATACAGTTTATGTCCATTTCAAAATTGAAAACTCGAATAAGATAATAAAAAGAAAATGATTTATTTTTCAAACATAATAACATAATTTTTTATAATTTAACATCATACGAATCATAATAATGAAAATATATTTTTTTATAAAATTAATATTGATCTTTTATTTGTTTACTGTGAAAGAATGCGAGCGACGAACAAAATGGTCAAGTAAATAAAATAATAATGGAACCATCCCCGAATGTAGTTGTGATAAAAAAAGTTATAGCGAGTCTCATATGTGCATTAATATTCATCATTCTCCTCCCTTCTTATCCAATTAAAAAAATTAAAGGTACCGATTCAATTCTTAATTTATAATGAATATATACTTTATTTAAGCATTTATCGGTATATCTAATTATTTCAAACTATTTCATTGGCTCTTCTCTTTCTTTCAGATGAAGAATTTCTAAACAATACTTCAATGCTTTACAAATACTGGTACCTGATATTATCAACTATGTTAATTCGTTTTAAGTATTATCACGCCTGGCTTTTCGCTGATGCAATTTGTAACAATTCTGGTCTAGGCTTTAATGGCTATAGGGAAGATGGCACAGCCCGATGGGATCTCGTTTCTAATGTTGACGCCATCAAATTTGAGGTATTTCATAACACCTATTCCAATTATAAACTATCCTGAGCCTTTATATTTATAAATAATTTTTCAGTAAGTTAAGCGTACCAAAGAATGACCGTAAGATGTAGAGGAAATGTTTTTGCTTGGATGAAGGAGGATATAATTATTTGCAATGTTTCGAAAATTTAAGAAAAAAATTGAATAACGATAAAGAAAAATTATATAATTCTAATAATGGTTTAATTAATTTGTAAAAATGCGTACTTCTGTTTTAATCATAAAAATTTATATCATTTTAATTTTAAAACGCATAATTTATTCATTATTTATATTGAATTTTTCTTTCAGTAAATTATTTCATAATATTGATACGGACAACTTCTTTTTACACAAAGTCAAATTAATTGAAATCAACAAAAATAAATTAGTTGCGTAAATTTTAAGACATTGAGATTTATTTGATTTTGAAGTTATTTTACCATACTTTTATACACTAAAATTACTTATAACAATAATAGTAACGCTTAAAATGAAATGTTTTATGAATTTTTATCATGATCTTAAAAAATTTTATTCAAAATAAACGTATTGGATCTAAAGATATTATGGAATATTAAATTTTAATGTGATTTTGATTCTCATGATAATATTTTATTATTCGTACTCTAATCGTTATCCTTTGTAATTATGATGTAATAATAAACTGTAAAAATTTATTATTAAAACGTATGATATCTTATCTGAAATGATGGTTATCTAAATAAATGTCTTGGATTTTCTTGAGATTAAACTGCAAATGTATGTTTCAATACAGATAATATCAATTAAATCTGCGAGTGTGTGAATTATACCAAACTTTCCCTTATCATAAGTAAATATTATTTTGACCTCATTTTTTCAAACAAAAATACCTCCTGTACATAATACTCTATCTTTTGGAAGTGGTACTTACAATAATTTTATTTATAATTTATAAACTGAATATACATAATTATTATTACAAATTTTACATAATAGTCGATTTATCAATATTAAGAACAGCGATAATAGATTTTTGATTATTCTTATTAAGGCTAATAGTTAGCCAACTGATTAATTATATATCTATATGTAAATGTTTATACATTATATTAATTTAATAATTTAATATCCGCATTAAATCTTCTTCTATTATTAATGTTAGTTTTAAATAGCAAATAATTGTTTCGATGCTTTTCTTAAAACGCATTAAGACATACAAGATATCTTTATAAATCATTCATTTTAACTACATTATTTTAATACTTTATTTAGTGTAGATAATATATTGTGTTAACTGCAAAATCTCATTTTCTATATCAATTTGTTTTAATCCATATAGTTTATCTTTTAATTAATTGACTCAAAGCTATTTATAAATATGTACCTGTTGTATTTGTGACAATATTTATGCTAACTTATCCAAATTCTTATACCTTCAATGATTATTTTCATTTTATGTAATTTTTAGACAGCTTTAAGTTTAAAAGATGCTATTCAAGCATGGAATAAGGGCACGAATCGATGGTTAAGAATGATCGTCTACGAAAGAGTGAAACACAACAAAACCATTCTCACTTATGGTCTTTCCGCTCTGTGGCATGGTTTTTACCCTGGATATTATCTTACGTTTGCCAATGGAGCTTTGATTACATTTGCCTCTAGATCGGTATGTTTCTAATTTATTCAAATATCCAAGTTTATATGTTCCTTTTTTTGTCATGAGCTTATGCGTGGTTAACCTATTTTATTACTTTGCCATAGATTCGTCGATGCATTAGACCATATTTTCTTACCTCAAAAACAAAGAAAGTACTTTATGATATTATTACCATGGTTATAACTAGATTTATCCTGGCCTACATAATTTTTAGTTTTATTCTCCTTGAGTTTCGTGCTAGTATCATCTTGTACCTGTAAGTCGTTTTCAATATATATTTCTTATTTTTTAAGATTATCGATATTACTCATTGAGCATGACACTGGAATTTTTTCATAATTTACGTATTACTTAAGAATTATGTTGAAGCTTGTTGCTCATCATCAGACCTTTGAAATTCGCACATATATATATGTATATAAATGTATATTTATGCATACTCAACGCATTGTTTACTCGACAGAAATCCATTAGTGCTTCATTGATTTAGATTTCACCAAAGTCCTTCACATTGGCAAATAAATTTCACAAATACCATTTAGGAAACTTCCATTCAACCACCCCTCCACTCAATTCAATTTTTCCATCATTAATCGAAAACTCTCTTTCATCTCTTTCATCCGTCACCGAGATGATAAAAGAAAAAGAAACTTTAGCCAGACGCATGAACGAGTGAAGCCGACGTGACCGCAGCGGTGTTGTTGTTGTATGATACAACAAAGTCACACCAGATGACGCCTCAAATCTCACGTTCGCCGAGCACAAGCTTTTAATGTCAGTTAGTTATCTTATAGAGCTCCGACAATATACGTGCACCGCGATATTGTGCCACGGATTTTGCTTTTCCAAGATTCGTAATGACATTGTGAGCAGCGGCACCGCTTTTGAAGTTTTTGCAAAACTTGCGCGCACCGCATACCTTTCGCGAAGCATTTTTCAAACGATCGAACTTCCGTTTGCACGGAACTTCTAAATAGTTTATATGAACACTTGTGACTGCGGCTTCTTTTTCCGAGGTATGTACGCTACTGAAGTCCTATCGATTAAATAATTTTGCAATGCGTGACCCTTCCATAAAAAAAATTAATAAATTTACCAATGGCAAACATTATCTGGAAGTATCTCATTTCGTTTAATAATAAACAGTAGGCAGTATCGTGCATGAAATAAATATGCGCATATGCATATTCATAAATGTGCGTGCGTGCGTGCGTGCGTGCGTGCGTGCGTGCGTGCGTTTACGTATGTCAATGCAAACAACAACAGTGGTACATATACAGATATATTTGTCCCTATGAATTCAATGAAGCGCAAACGAACATTAAAACGTATTATGTGGAGTGGGGGTGACGGCTGCACGACTTTCCGCACGTATTTCTCGTTTTATTAAAAAGAAAAAAATACAAACGCATCCTTGAAGCGCAACGAAAGAGGACAAAAGAAAATTATTTTTCTACCGTACGCGTGTCGTGTGTACGTCGCACGCGAGCGCGTCTAATATTATTAATTTTTTTGAAATTTTGAAGTACCTCAGTTCGCACGGATTTTTGACAATTGGCAAAATTTCATTAACTGAGTTACGTGTAATTATGAAGAAAAGAATAAATAAAGATTAGCACATAATTAAAGTTATTTTTAGTTTAATCGTGCGCGTTAAAAATAAAGTTTGCGTCGTGAGGCATTTTTAATAATTGTTTTACAGATTTACAACGGACATAAGGTAGGCGAACAATCAAATTGTAAAATAAAAATACTCGAGCTTTTATTTTTATAAAAATTAAACGCCCACGATTTATCAATATCGCGAATCGATATCCATTTCTCAATGCTTAAACCGTTCAAGTTCGATCGTTTCAATAAATTTTCCTAATTAACTGCGTATCTCGCTCGAGCACTCGCTAATCATTCCTTAGACGATTCCTCCTCCTCCTCATCCTCCTCCTCCTCCTCCTCCTTCATTTTGCGATGCATAATTAATGAAAGACACGATTGATAAATATGGCCGAGAGCGTGTCTCTTATCCACACAATTATCGAAGCTCGCTGTCGCAGTTTGCGCGTTGAACGAATTGAAAGAGAGGAGAGAAACATAAAAATCTGCCTTATGATTTTAGGAACATGTACCTTGCACCGCACCTTATTGGCATGTCGGCGATCCTTGTGCTGCCACTGTTGACGAGGACGCGCGAGGCCAATGGCTCAGGAACTTCAAAAGCCAAGCATGATAAGCCAGTGGGCGAATTGCGGACCACTGCCAACACTAACGGTCACATGCACAAGAGCAAATAACACGGCCCAAGTGGTATGCGTGAGAGCGATGGATGACGCGAGACGGAGAGTGTTACCGTGGGGTGCGTTTGCTCGTGTTCTTCTTGCTTGCGGGAATTTAAAGCCATGGGGCTTGGGCATCGAGATCGTTAATGAAAAGCTGCTGCCTTGGGAACGATTGGGTAATAATCTGGTTCGTTATTCTGGAAAGTCTCGTGGAAGAGCGAGCTGCTCGTCACCTGGTGGAAATACCCTATCGAAACAGACGACCGTGAATTAATATTTGATATTAGTAATTAGGAACGAGTTTGATTTGGTGTTACGTCGCGTCCCTTTTCCGAACGATTCATCAATAATATGCGAAGGCATAATTGCGCTAACGTTGGCGGCTACAACCTTTCCAAATACTCGCTCCGTCATTGTTTCCTATACGCTCTTTGGCCCAAAGAGTCTTTTTATTAGCACGAACCTCCCGTTCCAGAAGCAACTGATAAGCCATTTCGTGGAAATGAGCATTGTAAACTAAGTGAAATTTCAACATTGATATTAATTTTTATATTGTCACGGAAAGTTATAATCTCGAAACTTGATTGATTACGACACCTATCCGATGAAATTGCCACATCTCTAATATATTGATTTGAGTTTTCGAATAGTCGATCGACCAACGCGCGCTTGATCGATATTATAGTCTTAAGAAGTACAAAAGTGAGAGAGAGATAGAGAGAGAGAGAGAGAGAGAGAGAGAGAGAGAGAAGTAAAAAAATATTAATCATTTTTGGCGGTGCCTTCACATTTATGTGGTAACTACTTTCCGATTCCGACTTTTCTCAAATTAGTAATTATCACTCTATTTACGCCAGCATCATGTGAATACAAATGAATTTTATATGCAAGAAATTAATGTCTCGCTATGGTATAAAAGAGATGAGTCAGTAACAATTTCCTAAAATTATGATTACCATATATTTTTCATTATGAGTAAAAGAAACAATGTTATCCTTATGACAAAGGATTATTTATTATTTATGTTGCTATATAACTTTGACAGCAGGCGTAGTATAACATATCATCCTATCGAATTTTATGGGAACTAAGGACTTGTATTTTATCAACTAATGAAAGAATTCGGAGATGTGGCATTAGATCGAGCTTATCGGATCGTTAAAGCTATTACCATGAATTTATCTCAAAATAAATATCAGTGAAATCATAGTTTATCTTCACCAGAGAAATGGTATTGATAGTAAGTAATACACTGTCGTCTCTCAGTGTCTAATTAAATATTATAAATTTGTTGAAAAAGTCAAAATGAAAATATCACTGCCAGTCGAGAATTTTTCTATCATCGCAAGAAATCGTACTTTTCATGCTGATTTTTTAAATTTTGAATAGAAGTAAGGAATGAAATATTTTCACATTTGTTATGAAAATAATGAAATCAACATAAATACAAAGCAACTTATCCTTAAAAAAAAAAAAAAAAAAAAAAAAAATTTCTTTTTCAATTACACGCGCTCGTTTGGTTTCTATACACTTTTCCTTCTCCTCTCGCTTTTTTCAAACTTTTCAAACAAAATTAACCAATTAGACAATGCCTGTCCGTGGAATTGTCCTTTTATATACTTTAGGTACTGACGATATGATATTGAGATGCCGGCGGCGAATCTTTAGTGCAGTATAGATACGAAAGTACGAGGTTTTAATTTTACAAGATAAAACGTTGATCAGCGAAGTACATTATAATATACTTATTACTGTTTATTTTTGTACAATTTTCTATTATTTTTTCACGCTTTATAATCATAAAACATCGAGGAGCATAAAGAAGTGGAAATACGTATTTAATAAATGATCAAAATTTATAATGAATACTTATTTTGCGCTTGAATTATAATACTTTATCATTTATTTTTATCTATATGGAGGTGTATATTTATAAACAAAAAAAAAAAAAAAAAAAAAAAAAAGAAGAAGAAAAAGATAATAAATAAGTTACAACTATTAAACTATGATTATTAAATTTATTTCTAATAATATATAAATACAATATTTCATATGTAAATTAAAGCTTTAATTTAATTATTAAAATCAATTAAAATATAATATCAAAGCAATGGGATAAATCTTAATCGAATATAAAGATGAAATATTGTTGTACTGATTAGTGTATCTCTAAACTTCTTATTTTCATTGTTATTACTGATTATAAGAGTATATTGTTTATATTATAATACTTGATTAATTTGTAAAATAAAAGCCTTTGTACAATATTATCAAGATTATACGTTATCTTCGATATGTATACGTAGCTGAAATATATTTTTGAAAGATAAATATTATATATATATATATATATATATATATATATATATATATATATATATGCAAAATAACTAAAAATATTTATAAATATGTATTGAAAATTTTAAGCATTTTTGTATGTGAATAAGTATTTGTGGAGTAGAAATTGATTATTGCTCGTTATTTATACAAATACTAGTACAGTTTTGATAATTGATACGTATGAAAAGTTTTATAATTGAATTTTTTTATTTTACTTTTTTATCCTTTCATCTTACTTTTCAATATTATTGTGTTACAAAGATGCAATTTTAAATATGTAAAAACTTATGACCAGCTTGCTTCGATGCATAATTGAAATATGTGAAACATTTTTATTTTGTTTTTTTTCTTGTGATGTAGCGATTAATTAAATTGTCATTTATGAAATATAACACCAAAAAGTATAGAATTCTTTAGTTATGTATGATAAAGCATAAATAATGCTACACTTTAATGTAAAAAAATTTTTAATATTTCGCTTATTAATGCATTAAGTTTAATTGTACAGTGCGAAATTAAACATCGAAAGATCCAAATGTCTCATGATACTCTGCCTTTTATATTTACTATTTAATCATTTAAACGATTATTCATAAATTAAAAATTTATTATAATTAAGGTGAAAAAAGGACAAAAGTGCTCGAAGAATATTTTAATAAGTATTTTCCTGTTTACTTTGACTATTTACAATCTTTGTGTTTGTAGAATTTCTGAAATGATAACCAGAATAATTATTCCGAAAATGAATCTCAAAAGAAATTCATAGGTATATATATATATATATTTTCTTTCTGTATTAATTGCGTGTTTTCAAGTCAAATATTTATTAAATAAATTATAACATTGTGTTGTATGTTCATCGATGGTGTGGGCAAAATTTAAGATTGAAATAATTCGATACATTATTGTATCGGAACTTTCTGTATCTACAGAAATAGATTATATCAACTTTAATGTACAAATTGACAATACAAACGTAATATGTAAACATTGCTCATAACATAAAATGTTACCCAATGTAAATTTGAAACTGCAAAATGAAAATAGCATTGTGTGAAACGAACGTTTTCAAAATGAAAAAATGTCTAAAAAGTAATAAAACTTAACAAAGTATATATGTCTTATAATATCTACTAAGAGCAATCGAAATAAATTTTATGGAAATTCGTCATAAAGTAGCTTAGCTTTTTTTATAATCGCTTGAATAACTTTTGTATAATGTAATGCGTTATTCTGTATAAATATATAATGTATTAAAAGTTATGTCATTATTTTATTAATAATAACCTCGGTGTTTTTACCTCCGTTATATTCCCAAAGTACATTCACTACTTTTGCAAATAAGCTTTATTTTAAATAAAATGCTCAAATCGCTCAATATGAGATATTAAATTATAAAATTAATTTTCCCGTAAGATTTCCTGTATTTCCTGTACCTGCGTATTCATCAATACGCAGCTAAAGATTATTTTGTAAAATTTTAATGAGCATGAAAATATTGATTAAAAAATTTTCAATATTTTTATGTTTTATTATGATGTATAAGGATTGTTATGCAACTCACTATTTCAAAAGGATGTATGATTTAATTAAAACATATTAGAAGGTGTCGTTGACGAGACATAAAAACATTCTGAAATGCCTGGAATTTTGGAAATTTTCAAATAAATCAATTAATAATTAATTATTTATAATTTTTAAATAATGTCTTTATCGATTGGTAAAAATAAAAATTACTGTTATAAAAGTTAATTGTTATTGCTCGCCTAGTGTGATAATATTCAAGACAGATTTATTTATGTTGTGGAAAATCAAGTATATGCATTAAGATTGTTAATTAAATTAATTATATGGCATCAAAATATATTAGCACTACCTGTATCATAAAAGCAATCGAATTTATAATGACATAAATTGTGAAAATTAGAATTTATTTATATTCTACATTTTTTCGTATTGTAAAAAGTTGATGTAGAAATAATTGTAAAATTTAATATTATTAGTAATAAATGTAATAGAAATCAATAGTTATTATTAAAAACAATACGAAATTGAAATTAAAAAAATTGAAATTTATATTCATCAATTATTGATAAATATTGAATTATATTTATTTATATACGATATAATTAGAAAATAATATTTTATTTTAAAATTATCGTCGTACCTTATTCACAGCATAATATAATTTATAAAGTAGCTTATTTCGTTCACATTAATTTCATAATTCAATATCATTAATAATGCATATAATCATGAAATGTGCTTTTTAGTTTACTTTTGAAATGTTATTTAGATTCTAAGGAAAACTAGCGATTCTTCGGTCCTTGTCCACAGGCTCAAGGGTTTAGGTCATAGATTCCTCTATTGCTTCAATTATTCATGAATATATGTAATATATTCATATGACATTCTTTCCCTTTTGATGAAAATTGTAGCATTCTAGCAGTTATAATACCATAGATATTTTTTTATGAAATTCGCGGCTATTTGTTATTAGACATAATTACGATCAGTTTGCTTTCTATGGAGAAATGAGAATTTGAATTTTATCCAAACAATTTGTACGCTTACATCGTTATACTATATATATATTTTATGGATGTTTCCCTTACTAATCGAATATTAATTATCCAATGATAGCTTGCTTAAGCGATATATTTTTTACAAAGCATCTTCACCAATTGGATCTTGCCTTCGTCGATTAAAAACAACGTTATCAGATAATCCTCAAGTGTTGGCTTATTAATAATTATAGTGCCCTAAGTTGTTGTTGTTGTTGTTGTTGTTTTTTTTTTACAAAAATAATAATAACGCAAGCATATAATTTTATGTTAAACATTGTCTGTTGATTTTGCAAGCTTTAGTTTACCTCCTTATAAAAGTTGTTTTCCTTGGCCTCCTTTTAAAACTCGGTCTCACGTTTAAAAGGTTTAAAAGGTCATCTGTAAAACGAGATAACCTAGGTCAGTGGCCTAAGGTCTAGCACCATTTTTTTCTTCTTTCGTTAATTTATTTATTTAATTTTTAATAAAAAAAATTAGTGTAATACTATCACGTTGGAATATGATCTAGATTCGAGATTTATGCAAGTGCAAGTTCCTGTACGGCATATTATCATTCGCTGTGTGTTCAATATGTCTTTAAAGCCTATAATCCACTTGTGTAGAAATGCAATAAAAAGAAATAATAATAAAGAAATAATAAAAAAAATTAGTAAATCAAAATTCTTCTGTGAAAATTATCATTCGACAAGCGTCGTCGAATGGAATTTTTTGAAAAGACGATGAGAATGTTGTAATATCTTTATAATTTGAATAATTTTTCGTCACGGATAATTTATGTATAAAAAAAAGTTCAATCTCATTTTAGCAAAGCATTTATGACATTTGCTCCTTATTTTTTAAACTCGATTTTTATAATTTCAGCACGTAATTCCTTCAATGATCGATGATATTTTTTAATTAGCTTACTTCAATGAAAGACACTATGAATCCCATCAACATGCTGCTCTAGTTAAACATTTATTCCGCATAATTAGCGAGCCTACCGCGGTAGAAACAAACTCCAGTCTTGATATCTCCAATGAACATACATTTCAATGCATATTTTAAGATAAAATTGCATATTATCATCCAAGTCAAATGCAAATAACATTAATTAAAAGTTTTCAGCGATCGCTCACGTGTATTATCTCCCAGGGCATTTTCATTTCAAAATCCAATTCTTAGTTGCGCGCGAGCCAGTCGCGGCCTATTTCCAAAATAAAAAGTACACTTTCCATTAAAGAACGGAAGAAGAAGAAGAAGAAGAAGAAGAAGAAGAAGAAGAAGAAGAAGAAGAAGAAGAAAGAAAAGAAAAAAAATATCGCTCATAGTTATAATATCTCATAGTTGGGTTACCTAACGCGAAGAAACCATAGTCAAGTCCACCTCAAATTGACGTTGAACTTTAATAACTTTACATAAGCAGACGCTACAAAAATCATTTATTTTCCAAAGAAAAGCCCAAGAGCGTAGGTCGTGATCCGATATCCCACATTAGCGAGCCACTTGATTCGAAAATTCTTCGCCTAATCCCTCCCCTCGTTCTTCCGACCTCGCGTCCACTACTTCCCTACTACGCCGGCTTGGCCGAGCGGTAGGTAAAAAGGTACGTAGGACAGTCTCGACGAAGGGGATGATCCCGCGTGAAATGTGAAATAAAAGATGTTTTGGGCGGGGAAACGGGAGCAGCGCTGGGACGTGTGAGCGCTTATGCATTTTTGCGTGGCTACTTTCATCCGCGACCTAATGGAATATCGGCGCGCATAATCGAGTAAAGAGAAGCTCTGTAAATGTCCGCGCAGCCCCGAAGCCGTAGTAAGGGCCGAGCGCGCGTGCAGGATATCGTGTCGGGCCGGGCGTGAGCCCCTCGCGGAGCCCCTCACCGGTTCGCGTCCCCGCGTGCTTGAGAGGCCCGTCGAGGAAGGGAGTAGCCAGGCACCGCCGGGAAGAGACAGTCGTCGAGGCACTGGTTTGCCGAGCGCGCGCAACGACGACGACGACGACGACGACGACGAGAGCCGTCTTCATTGCACGCCTCATCTCCATCATGGTAATTGAGGGAGTGATCGTACCTCCTGAATTTTTAAGTCGTTTGTTGAGCCAGTGATAAGTGACCGACAGTGACGGGACGCTCTTTGCCTTAGTTAGCCAGGCATATTAAGGGATCGACAGCCGAGCTTTTAGCCTCCCGCACCAATTAGCTCGACTCAGTATTTTCACCTACGGCTCTTATTAGAATCCCGACGCTTATCATTAATATATCTATTCGATTTTTGATCTCGGAGGCTGCGAAGGTGGTAGCGGTGGTGGTGGTGGTGGTGGTAGTGGTGGTG